CTGGGGGTTGTTTTAAGTTTTCTAAAAATCGAGAGCGATCAAGCATCCTAAAGTTTTACAGAGCGTTTAGAGCCTTTCGTTGCGCTGGGAGGCTATTCCGGTGGTGCATGTGCGGGTCTATGCAGCATGTCGTGTTGAAGCGGACATGGCGAAACAGTACCGCCGGGACATTGGTGCTTGGGCTGCGGCCGCAAAGTCACGGACTAAAGGTCTACTGGTGGTTGTGGCAACATTTGAGATCGTGATTTGACGTGCACGTTACTAAAAGAAATAAATGGATGTAAAGATATAATTGAGACGACTCGCTGAGACCTACGCTCCGGTGGAGAGGAGGACCTGGCTTCTGGAGCTGAGGAGATTCTCATTCATGTCCTTGGTCGTGACGGGGGAGCCTAGGGTCTTGTTCTCGATTTTGGGCAGCACGATTCTGAAGAAGTAGACGCTGCCGGCGAAGAACACCAGTCCCGTCACCACGATCGACGCCAGGAAAATGGTGTCGGCCACGCTCGTGTACAGGATGGCGAAGATAGAAACGCCGCACAGTGCCAGTCCGACAAAGGCGCCAGCGAGTCCAAAGGGGCTCTTGTACGGCCGGGGTCGGTTTGGTTGCCGGTATCGCAGGAACACGAATGACAGCAGCTGAAAAATGTAAGAGATCAGCGCGCCCAGCAGCGTCAAGTTGATAAGAACAGAGCCGAGATCGTCATCGCCTATGGCGTAGTGCAAGATAACAGCGATCAGAACGCAGCTAATGGTGCCGAAGAGTAGTGCACCCACCGCCGTGCCGCGGCGCGGGTGCTCGTATGCGAGGAATTTAGGGTAGTAGCCGTCTCGAGCGATGGCAAACAGCAGCTGGCCCATGAAGAAGACGTACGAGTTGGGACTGGAGCACAGTGCAATGACCGTCATCCACTTGAAGAACGTCGTGGTCGCACCAGTGCCGTAAATCGTCTGGAAGCTCGTGACGAGCGGCGCTGACACGTCAGCCATAGCAGCAGCACCGGGTGCAATCAGCGAGCTGAACACGGCTGTGCCGAACGATAGCACCATTAGAGTCGAGATGCACATGAACAGGCCGCGAGGGATATTCTTTTCGGGCTCGATGGTCTCTTCACTGGCAAGCGGGAGCTCTTCAACACCAAGGTAGAACCACATGGCGAACGGTATCGCCTCGATGGCACTACTCAGATCTGTGTACTTCCAGTTTTGCTCGACCACCCACTGGTTATAGTCCAGGTGCGGAATGGCGGAGAAGAACATGATGAGCAGCAATAGCACGCAGAGCGTCGTCGAGCACGCCTGCATCCGGAACGAAGCTTGCACGCCGTAGATATTGAGACCACCGAAAAGAATGCCGAACGCGATAAAGAACACCGGAGCAAACTTCTGGTCGACGTTGAAGAGCGTCTGAAGATACGAGTAGATGGTGTAGAAGGTCGATGAGTTGACGGCGATCACCTTGAGAGTCTCCGCCAGTCCACTGAAGAACGCCGCACGGGGTCCAATGGAATGTAGCGCGAAGATGTACGGACCTCCACCGGCGGGGATCGTCGCCGACAGTTCGGCGAGCGAGAAGGACAGCGTTACGTACAGCACCGTCATCATGGACATCACGATGAGCATTCCGTTAAAGCCGGCTACGAGTGAGGACTGCCAGCCATAGTATTCACCGCTGATCACAGCACCGATCCCAAGCGCCCACAACTGCAGCGCCTTGGCGTGTCGTTGAGGTGGCTCCACCTTGCACTCTTGAATATCGAGTGACGCACCGCTGATTCGGCTGAGGCGGGTCATCTTGAAGTGGCAGTAGATTCGGGTCACGGCGAGGCCAATTGAGAAGTGTCATGAGCTTTGCCGGGCGAGGGAGGCGAGCCCGGAAAGTCGGCGCTGCTTGAGCATTCTTGTCCCTCAGCACCATCACCTCAAGCGGAGACCTTCCTCATGGGCCTGTTATTGGCCGAGGGTAACGCGTAGCTGAACGCGTCACGTGCCAGCTGGTGCACTTCAATACGTATCGGATGCTTCTTTTCTGATCGCTGTAACACCGGAGACGATCGGCGGCACTAGCAACCTCGTGCAACGCCTGACTCAAATCGAGTCATTGCGGCCGGTTGCCACTCGACAGCATTCTTGAGTCGTTAAATATAAGCCGGCAGCTTCGCGGAAGCATCATTGGTGGGGTCGGTCATGGCTGCATCCCGCAGCTACATGGAATACGCCTTCATTGATCTGTGATTAATTTTATCACTCGAAATGTTTTATCACTCGAAATGCAGGGCTTGCTTGAAGTTGTCACTCCTGAAACCTCGATCGACTAGCAAGAAACCGGACAGAGTCGATGGCCCAGCATTCAGAAGGGCTTCCTGGTTCACTTGGTCAGCACAAACTACCGATTTTGGTCAGCGGTCCTCCTCAATCCAGTAGCGGTGGTTTTCAGCTCTCATGTATGAGTTTCTGAGCGTGTTAAACAGCGGACATGGGTGACTTGGGAGCGTACGGCGAAAGCTATCCGGTCTCAATTGAAGATAGAGGATTGAACGCATCGCCAGGAGGCTGTCACGAACGACGAGATTTCAACATGCACGACCTCCACAAGTCTTAATAGAAGAAACCATACCGCAGTAATGACGAATGCCCCCGAAAAGACCGAACGACGGGCACCATGCTCTTTATTTGTGGCCCGCCTCCCGCGTCCACCGCTGCGTGGAATATCCCTAATGTTGTATGCGAACGCAATTAGTTCAGTTGACCGGGTCGTCACCGCTGCGATCACCTGGTTCAGCCACCGGCCTCGCTATGATGATCATGTTACGCTGAGGGGCTGCACATCCCGCGGTGTCAAACCATTTTCGAGCGTATCATAAGCCTGTCGATCGAAGTTTGCAGTGCTGCCGATCATAAACATTTAGATGAGTATCACTCTTCAACTTTCCGATAGACGTCTTGACGTTTGTCCTACCAGCAAGATCAGCGCTTATGAAGGTCCGTGGGTTCGGAGCTACTGTAATTTCAGCAACGTAAAGGCATTCCGTTGTAGCTCCTGGTATCGGCGGCGCTGTAGTGTCAGGTGACCCGCTAGTGTTGCCTTGACAATCTTTTGAGTAGTTTTCCAATCACCCTATCGATACATGTACTAGTGCCTAGTGCCATCGTCCGACAGTCTCCACGAAACGGCAGAAACTTTGACCAGTCAAAGCGTTCATGTACCCGATGTTGCAGCGAATGGGTATGAACGACATTAAGGCATTAGTGCTAGTGACTCGATGCACGTGGGGCAACTTGCGGCCAATGATGTTGAACTTGAACACCATCTGGATGCCGCCTGTACCGCCGAGAGGCATCTGAATTTCGCCGCCTTTTATGCGATGCAGGTTTGGCGATGAAAATGCGTAACATCATCTGTGTTCATGGCGCTTATGGGGCCCAGCTGGAGAGAACTCCACCACATCTACTGCTGCCGCACGGAAGGCGGCTCGGATAGAAGGATAGGGACAATCGCGATCGAGTCTCTCACTTTCGGATTTGCCACCACCCGCACTCCTCATTCCAGAATCACGTCGCCATAATGGCTCCCAGTGCCCACGCACCCTGCAAGGATATTAAGCACCCACTAGATCCCGTGACTGCCGATGAGGTCCGTACCGTGAAGCAAGTTCTCGCGGACGCCGGGTACTCAAGTCCAGAGCTGCGCTACGCGTATGTGATGCTATTTGAGCCCGATCATTCCACGCTGGACAAGTTTGAGGCTGGCCAACTGACAGAGATCCCTCGTGAGATCGGCATGCTGGTGCTCGACCAAGCCACGAACGTCACGCGTGACTTCGTGGTGGACGTTGTGGCTCGTCGTATTGTCAAAGAGGTAGAGCTGGACCCCAAGATCGATGGACAGATCCCGATCTTGGATCAAGACTACTGGGACGGCGACTCAATCTGCAAAGCTGACCCAGACTACGTCGCCGCGCTGGCCAAGCGGGGCATTACCGACCTCGACATGGTGCGCGGAGAGCAGTTCTCGGCCGGTGTCTTCGGCTACGAGGGTGAGGAGGGCAACCGCATGATCCGTGTGTTGAGCTTCCTAAAAGTTGAAAATACACATGCCATGTATGGCCACCCGATCGATGGCCTCGTGGCACACGTCGATCTAACGAACCGGAAGGTGTTGAAGCTGGTCGATACGGGCTACACTCACATCCCCATGGAGTCGGGCGACTACCTGGATCCCAAGGTCACGGGACCCATGCGTACAGACATGAAGCCGTTGCACATCAAACAACCCGAAGGCGCCAGTTTCACCGTCAAGGACAACATCGTGTCATGGCAGAACTGGGAGATCCGCGTCGGCTTCAATGGACGTGAGGGACTTACGCTGCACGATATTTCTTTCAATGACCGTGGTCGAAAGCGTAAGATTCTTAACCGCGCGTCGGTGTCTGAGATGGTTGTGCCCTATGGTGAGCCTTCGCCCACGCACGACTGGCAGAACTACTTCGATGCCGGTGAATACCAGTTCGGTCGTCTCGCAAACTCTCTCGTTCTGGGCTGCGACTGCCTCGGCAAGATCCAGTACCTGGACGCGACGGTCGTGGATGATTTCTGTGAGCCGTTCGTAATTAAGAACGCTATCTGCATGCATGAAGAGGATTTCGGTACGCTGTGGAAGCACACGGACGTGCTGGCCTCACCGCCCACCGGCACGGTGCGTCGCCAGCGTCGATTTGTGGTGTCTTTCTTCGTGACAGTCGGTAACTACGACTACGGATTCTACTGGTACTTCTACCTTGACGGCAGGATCGAGCTGGAGTGCAAGGCCACGGGTATTGTGTTCACATCCGGACGCCCGGAGGGTGAGTACGAATATGCGACTGAGATGGCCCCTCGTCTCGGTGCTCCGTGCCATCAGCACCTGTTCTCAGCACGTCTGGATGTAGCCATCGATGGCAATAAATGCCACGTCGACGAACTGGAGGCTAAGCGTCTGCCGATCAGTCCCGAGAATCCACGCGGCAATGCGTTCATTCGCACTGCGACCCGACTCAAAAACGAGAGCGATGCTCAGCGTGTAGCTGCAATGGACAAGGGTCGGGTGTGGCGTATCGCCTCGAGCGAGGCCAAGAACCGACTCGGTCGATCCACGGGCTACGCGCTGTTCCCGGAAGGCCAACCGGTGCTCCTGGCTGCTGACGGATCATCGATCTGGAAGCGTGCGAACTTCTCGACCAAACACTTGTGGGTCACTAAGTATGCGCGCGATGAGCTGTGGGCTGCGGGCTACACACCCAACCAGCACCCGGGCTTTGCCGGTCTACCTAGCTACGTAAAGGACAACCGCCCAGTGGATGGCGAAGACATTGTCGTGTGGCACACCTTCGGTCTCACGCACTTCCCGCGCGTTGAGGACTGGCCCATGATGCCCGTGGACTACGCGGGTTTCAAGATGATCCCGGAGGGTTTCTTCGACCGCAACCCGACGCTAGATGTGCCTGAGGACCCGAACGGCAAGGGCAGCTCCGATCTGCACGGATGCTGCCATGCAACCAAAGAACCTGTATCAGAGCCGTAAGTACTAACGTTAGTGAAGAGGAAAATATACTGAGTCGAGCCAAAAGCCAATTGAAATTGAAAGAAAAATGTCAATGCATTCGAAAACTTGAAAAACACTAGCACTACTCGTTGACAACAAATTGTTGCCTTTCAGTGGAAGTTGAAGCGGTCAATCCGACAATCATTCCTCGTTGCAATTTTCGGGTTAAGTTGCAATTTGCCGTCTCTGTCTGATGCAAATCTGATTCGATGGACGAGAATGCGGAGAATGCACCAGGTGTTACCCTTCCGTCGACCTCCGAGGTCGCCACGGGCTCTCACGACGCGAGCTTGGATCCGCTAGCTGATGACGATACCCTGGACGACTCTGTCGCTCCTTCCGCTACCTCTGAGATCGCATCTGTTCCCCAACAGCAGCCAAATTGCGACGCAACCGAAGCACCAGATGTTGCCTCCTTGTTATTAGCTGCCGCCACTAGCGCGCCAGATCTACGTCGGTCCTCGTCATCAGGCGGCGTTGCCGCTCCGCGTGGCGTAGGCTTCAGCCTGGGCGCGGGTCTCGGCCGGCGTATTAGAAGTCGCAGCGGCGGAGACGACGGCGACCACGGGTCTTCGGAGCTCGTTCAGCAACTCCAGAGACTCTGCAGACGACAGAGACAGCGCTCCGAAGAGCGCTCCTTCGTGCGAGATGTGGAGCGCGTACTGACCTTGTTGAGAGCGCAGACACCTGCATCATCAGATACAGGAGTGACGTCGGCCACGTTCCCAGGTCCAGGGCTCTCACTGGAGGCGCTGGGTAGCGTACAGGAGGAAGACGAAGCTACTGGAGAGGAGAGACGCAGCTCCTCCACGAGTAATAGTTCTACATTCAGTAGCTTCAGCTCTATGAATTCCAGTGACCGACTAAGAGAGACACTAACCCTCGCTGAGATCGACGCTCTGCTGGATTGCATTGCAGACCTGTTCGACCACCGTAATCCCAGTGTACGCGCACTGGCCTTTGAAGTGGTGCAGCTGTGTTTGCTGCGCTTTGGCGAGAGACTGACGCCAGCGTTGAGGAGGAAGATATATTTACGGCTGGAGACTCACCCTCCTGGAGATTATTTGCTGCGACAGAAAGCAATTCGAGCTCTAACGCAGGATGGACGTCACTTGGAGCCTTTTAATGTTGAACTGGGTTGGTTCTTGCTGCGGTTATTGGAACAGTCGGACGCTCAGCGCGACCTGCTAGGACTTATTCAGAGTATATTACGCCGTAGTCCTCGAGCCCTGGATCGTGACAAGGTGCTTGCTATTGTGGCGGTTATAAGTGCACGGTGTGATATCGCGTGGAGCCGCAATGATTTGGACGCGTGCCGTAGGTTTGTTGCCTTTTATCACGTGCTGGCAACACATGGCTTAGCTTACGCAGCGAGTACCCCAGCGTGCCTGCGGTCGCTGTGTTGTATTGTGAACGCTGATGGGCATGGGACGTGGTCGGTCATGAAGTTGCTACTTGATGGAAGTTCGGGTTTCCTTGTACTGCGAGGCCTACTTCAATTACTGGAACATCCGACGGGGGTTAATTCGCCCTGGGTTTTACGAGGTGCTGTGTTTTTTGTAGGAATGTCCTGCTGGGGTTCTCAGCGAGTGGCGAAATTTGACGATATTGCGTGGGCTCCCATCGTACTGGCGCTTGAGCAAGCCTTACAGTGCTGTCGGGGTGTGGTCATATTCGAGGTCATCTTATCTGTTCAACGCCTTATCAAGAAGTTTGGAGCAGCTCATCAAGCAGGGAGTGGACAAAGCGCTACCACGCCACCCAAACTATCATCGCTGTCCGGAGACCGTAGCCATGATACTACCGTAAGCGGTGCCACTACCTCCAGTTTAAGCAGTAACCGGGATAAACGCTGTCTAGTTATGGAATGGGATATTATTTTACGTATGCTCCAGACACTGAGACCATGGGTGTCCATGACTGATGAAAACGAGATTGAAGAAGCTCCTCAGCGAACAATGCAGCCGGAAAATCGGAGAGCGGAAGCGAAAATGCATCGGACAGCAGCTATCCATCCAGCAAAAAATGACCTACCCGACCAACCGCAGCATCATCTTTCAATATCAATTCAACAGACCAGAATTCCCCGTGAGCTGCTTGATACTCTGCAAGCTGTGGAAGATCTTGTGGAACAACAGCAGTTTGCTGGAGATGTGGATGAATTTCTCAATATTCTTGAGGAGTATTTACCGCATCTCAGTGAAAATTCCATGCTCTTTCTGCTGCGACAGCGTGCCGAGGCTGCCCATCCAGGCTATCATCTGGACTGGCTGTCTACCTTATCGACTACAATGCGAACACTTTTCACGTGCCTTAGTCCTGATGGTGACGCTCTCCCTGTGCCAAGCACTGTGCGGTTAGAGGCACTGGAGATGCTACGAGTCAATCTTTGGACAAGTCGCAATGTCTGCGAGGACCGCGTCATTGAAGAAGTGGTAATTCCGACACTTGGTCGAGTTTATGAAGACCCGGATGCGGAGATTCGTCGTCGTGCTCTGTCGTTTATCATTGAGGTAGCAAGACAATTGGAAAGTGTCAAGTTTGACTCGCTGCTTGATATACTGGCGAGTGCGATGACGCTTTCAAGCAACGAAGACGCTCAGCTCGTGGCAGCTTCGGGCATTGTTTCCCTTTTCTCGTCTGCGTTCGATCATTTACCACCAGCTCGCGCTGTGCGTATGTATGACCTTCTTGCCACAACAGTAGAAACCCATCGAAACCGTGATGTTCGGCATACAGCACTATCGTGCCTGCTGAACGTATGTGAGGCCCGTGCAACGGATTGGAAACTCCAGTGGAAGGAACAGCAACAAACTCGCACGTCGCGTTTCTTGTATGTGTCTCGACGAGCAGCGCGTATCAACACAGCTGGCGTGCAGGTGACAGCTTCCTGTGTACCAGTGGCTCGTGCCCTCCGTGCTCTCTTGACACTCGTGAGTGCTGAGCCTGATGCGGAGCTATTCTGTATGGCTGTGAAAGGCATCAAGACTATGCTAGAAAACCGCGCCATTCTTGAAGATGTTGATGTCAGTGAGGTCTCAGCGAAGGTTGTCGCAAGTATTGATTATCGAGCCTTTGGCCGAGCTGCAATACCTGACGAGGTCGGCAAATTACTTCACAACCAGAAAGACGATCAGGAGTCCAGCGATGATAACTCCACGATATTGATGCCTCGACATCACAAGTCCCAAGATGACGGTAGACGTGCTAATCGAGCAATTCCGCTGACAGATGCAGAGCTCGTTCGCTCGATTAGGTCCTTAAGTACGGGCGAGAGTGGCAATACGACGGTGGCGTTCAGTGCGAGAGTGCAGGCAACAGTAGCTCTGCTGGCTAAAACTCGGTTTCTTGCGATGGGAGTCGAGCTGCTACAACTTCTTGTTAGCTACGAGGCCGAGCTGCACGATAACGCACTGCAAGAGCTCACGCGATGCTTGATTGGCGCCATGAAGTTACGATTGGCTGTCGCCGAGAAGGACTTGTTCGCGGGAGGTACTTCTGGAGATGACTCGACTCTATCTGCGGCGGCATCGTCGCCGAATATGCTGTATCACCACGAAGAAACAGAAGCTCAGGTTGCATACGCTTCTGGTACACCATTTGGATTTACATCTCGTGTGTTGTCGCGGTTCCAGACGTCTGCATCTCATGGTAATTTGTTCCACGCGTTGTCTGGATCTGTGAGTAAATCCTCTTTAGGGCCAGCTCCAGTACAAACAAATACACCAGGACGTCCGACACGAAGGGATAGAGCTCGATTGCAGGACTTTCTGCGACAGCTTTTCGAAGCCGAGTTTAAACTGCTGCACACCACAACCACCGCGTTGGGTCTGTTAGCTCTGGTCTCGTCTGGTTCAGTACTTGGCCAACTTGACGAAGTCCTTCAAAGTCTGCGCGCTTGCGTTACGACAGTGGATGGAGACTTTCGACCCGATGCTTTCGTTGCTGTACTGGAATTATTGGGCATCATCGTGTCTGTATTGGCTGGCGAACCAGAAGAAAGCGTGCTGCGTGCACATAAGGCGATGGTGGAGGCGCTGCTGCTTGGATTCGAATATGCCAAGTCAAAGCAGTTGTCCTACCTTTCGTTCCGTCTTCTCTGCCAAGTTATTCACCAAAGTGATCGCAAGAATAGGATCGGACTTGCGACACTGGCATTGCCAACACTGCAGCAGTGTGCACGTCGCGCGAATAGCCTTCTTGCAGAGGCTGCAGTCGACTTTTTGATGTGCTACGCGTATTCCCAATCAGCGGTAGTTCCTTCGGCCCTTGTCGGTCGACGGCAGCAACAACACCACGACGAGATGTCAAGTACGGACAGTGATTCGTCCCAAGCGAAGTCAAGGTCTTGGGTTTACAAACGGTCATTATTGACAATTACGACAACCTCGAAGGGGGATACATCACTTGTAATTCGCAGAGCTAACTGCACCAGCCGTTGGGAGCTTGATGCATGCCACGATCTCTCGTTAAATCCAGCAGCCTCATCCCTACTATTTCCACGCTCTCGTCTGGATAAGTATTGTGAGGCCGATAGTACTCGCACAAATTCCAACCGTCGAGATCTACAGTCAATGGAGATCGGAACTACAGGCTCTAACACAGCAAACCGCACCGCTCTCCCAGCTGAGCTCAGACCAACTCATTTAAGTTTGTCTGGGTCAATGTCAGAAGCCAACATCAACGCTCGTGGTATGAAAAACAATATTGATGCTGCCGTGGACGAAAGTCAGAACGATACACAGATAAATTCATCTCGGCAAGCCACAGTAAACACGTTTCAACACGCGTCGGTAGCGGCAGCACTGCCGCCTCTACCTGCGTACGATGGCATTGGCGGGTCACCATCGTACTATTGTGACAACACACCAGGTGAGAACGCAGACATTGTACATATATATGTTTGTCAGACTAACATTATGTATTGATGGCATGTTACTGTTTGCAGTGCGTCGTCAACCACCAGGAAGTCTCGGTCACTCAACCTCGAGGAGGCATTCCAGACAAGCAGAAGGAGATGATGGACGTGAAGGTTCGCCAGGGATTCGCGCGATTCGGGAAGACGCTGAAGAGAATGATGACGTAGGAGCTCGTCACGGACTTGTGGAGAATGAAGACGAAGAGAGTGGGAACGAGATGGCTGAATTCTTCTTGAACGGCAGCACAGAAGAAGCATTGAGTACCCCAGTACAAGCACCCAGGGTGCTTCACTTTTCGAGCAATAATGATTCTACATCGGCTGCATCAAGGGAAATGGATGGACTGTCGGTGTTGTCCAATGGAGACCAACATGATCCCAACTATTTGATGATGCAGCTCTTCGATATCACCGTGGAAAACCGGCCAAAACTACTAAGTGATGGACCATCTTTAAAGCTGGCGCTCAGTGTTCTGGATCGTACTCCGGAATATGAAACGCACAAAATTGGATTGCTGTACGTTCGAGACGAGAAGCGATCTTCCGAGTCTGCTATCTTAGGAAACACAGGAGGATCGCTTCGCTACCTGCGGTTCCTACGTGGTCTCGGTACCTTCACGAAATTGGAGGGACTTCCGGGATATTCAGGTGGACTGGACACAACAGGCAACAGCGATGGAAAATTCGGCCTCATCTATAAGGATGCATGTTCACAGGTTCGATTTCCTTTCGGGTATCGCTGTTTGTTTTAAAAAAAAACTAACTTTTGTTCTTGACACTCTTGCAGATTATGTTCCATGTAGCGACGATGATGGTTCCCGATAGTAAACCTTCCATTGAATCTGCTGTGGACAACTTGTCGTCAATGAAGAAGAAGCGCCATATCGGTAACGATTTCGTTCACGTTGTGTTCAAGGTACGAACAGCCAACTACAATGAATTGTTAACATAGGGATCGCATCTTATTAGTGGATGTTTTTGTTGTGATACAGGAATGCGACGAAGACTACGACCTGCAAACACTGTCTGGACAGTTTAATGACGTGCACATCGTCATTCAACCTTTGAACGACCATGAATACCGCACAGAAGTGCATGTGAAGGCAGGGATCCCACCGTTTGGTCCGCTGTACGGCAGACAGATTGTCTCGAGTTCCATTATATCGGAAACCGTGCGACTCACATGTCTGAACGCCAATCTGGCATGCCAAGTATTCCACCAGGACCTTGTCGGGTTCGCACTGAATTGTGAAGAACGGCTGAAGCAAATTAAGCAGTTAGGTCTTCGACTTGCCACCACAGATGAATGGAAGATCGACTAGCAAAGTGGGGTACCGTGCAAGTCAAGATTTATAAAGTGAAAGGAATGGTGATGTGGAGTATTTTATGGTTAACGATGGACCTGTGGGTATCTGTAGGCGCCAATGAAATGGAGGCCGCTTCATGAATGCATTGCTTAACAATGTAATTGCTGTAAGGGAGTTCGTTAGATGAAAAAATCTATTCCTGTATAGGCTGGAGTTTTAGTGTGGACTGGCGAACGTACAAAGTACAAGTCAACGTCTTTGTGTCCACATCGCCCAGCTCACATCTTGCGACTACTCTGAGAGGGAAAACGACAGGCATGCTATCCAGACGGCGTGGAGTCGATAAAATGCTTTACAAGCTGAGTAGGAAGGTCGCCGGTGCGTGGGAGTCACTACAGGTGGAATTTCAGGGTCAGTACTCCGTCGACCGCTTAATTGCTCTACGCGACTACAGTGGCGCGGTTGGCCTTGGCGAAATCTCGCTTATCCTCTTGCTGACGCCACTGCCATGCCTCACCATGGTAATCCTGGGTGATACCGTGCCGTTAAACGCACCCGAGGCAGGAGCGAACTCCAACGTCGTGTTTTGGCTTCGCAGTATTCTAGTCCTAGGGAGCTTTACACTCTCCTTTGCGATACAGTTTAAGGAAATACTGGCGAGACTTCCGATGTCATGGCGACGCCTCTATTTCATGTCAGCGGTTGTAACCGGCGGTGGGTTGGCTTACAGCTATTTGCTGTGCTTGATGATTGGGTTTCCTTTGCCATTTGCGATGCCAATGACCGCTCCAGTCTGGTCGACACTGTTCCTGTCAGCATTTGCAATGAGTTGGTGGAAGCACGTTCGAGGCAACAAAGAGGTACAAGCTTATATCATTGAATGGCTAATGGTGTTCTCTATCCAGACGTCATTGATTGGGATCTATCCATTTTTCAATTACGGATTCTTGAGTCTCCAATCTTGGCCCAAGTCTCAAGCTGCATTCTCATTGCTCCTTCAGGTGATTAAGGTTGCCGCGAAAAATGCTATCAGCCGCTGTATGCGAGCACAAAGTGATATGAAGCCGGAAGTCATCATCTTCAATGTGGAAGTCTTCAATGCGTTGTTTGTCTCTTTTTGCATGCAGAATGCGTCATCCCAGCTGACCATGGCTGCAATCATGACTGTCGACTTCCTTCACATGGGTGTTTCAGTGTGGGAGATAAACCTAATGGTTCGTGAAGTAAGGGAAATGGGACATCTATTGGGTTCACGAAGCTCTGAAGCGGCTCAAAATCATCAGCCAACGTCCAAAAACTCTTTGAAAAACTATTCTATGCTACACCGAGCAAGTGACATTGCTATACGACACAATACTTCCTGTCGTCGCGTTGCTGAAATTACTAGGCAACAGCACACCTTAGTTCTACAGTCACTACTGTGCTGCATCTCGCGTTCGAATCAAATTGGCCCAGCCAAGAACTCAAACACGATTAAAGTAGCCCAAGTCTCAACTACTCCAATTATTCCAAATGCAGGTGTTCCTGCAGCTCTTCCCATGCACCCGCCACCAAAGCGTCCTCTAATTGTTGAAATATCTGATCAAAGTGTGGAGGCTTTGGAGCAAATGTACGGGAAAAAAGTCGCCAAGTTATTATACGTGACAGAGTGCACAATCCTTGTCGAGTACACCGAGGTCATCGTTCCGATCGTGTATTGTGAGTTTGCACATTTTGCCGAACTTGACGTCGACTCTGTGCTTACGAACCCACCCTTGTATACTTTGTACAGCAATCTACTTGGTGGCAATGTCGTATCTTCCGAACCGGATTTACTATCCAGAACTTAAGGACATGGATTCTGATCGACTACATCAGACGCTGATCAACGTGCTCCTGTATTCCTTGCTAGAGCTTATCTCTCTTGTCGTGCTGGACGTAGTACTTCGTCGTCTTGTGCACTTCTCCCCGGTTTCTCAATTGGCATTTGTACTTAAAACGCAGTGGAGAATGGTACAAGCAAAGCTGGTTTTATGGGTGATTTATGTAGTGCAGTCCTCCCTAGTTCATTTTGGTGCGTGGGTGAACATCCTTTTGATCAAGTGTGCTGTCTGCTAATAAATTATTACTGTATCCTTTTTAATTTAAAGGAGCGGACTACAGCTTCAAGTTCGCATGGTTACGAGACCCGCCGACTATTTGATAAACTTGATGCGCTCTAAGAAAAATAAAACTCACACTTTTATTTTACTTACTGAAAATACAGCAATACATGCACAATTTAGGCGTATATCTAAACGAAAGGTCGCCCAGCTAATACTTAATTTAATTGATTCACAATTATTGCGTCCATCCAGCACTCGACATGCCACGCCATTACGACGATCACCGTCTGATGTCTTCCACTCGTGTCTTCAGCTTATGGCTGTTCTTCCTCTTGCTGTTCATTGTCTCCTGTATGTCGTTGGAAGTCCTACTCGAGGTGCAGCTTCCTTTGGAGCCTCCACCAGAGCACAGACAGTTCCTATTGCTCTCGGGACAGGAGCCTGTGGACACGTTGGAAGCTTTTCGAGTGCGTCACGGCCAGACGCTTAAGTGGAGATACAACATGCTGGTGCAGATCTGCCAGCGACCTCGAGTAGTTTGCCGTCGTGAAGTCCCGATGGTTTACTCGATGCAGATCCAAGCACCAGGAGGTGGAATCTTAGGAGAACTGGAGATACTGGAAGCTGTCGAGCCGGCGGACGCAGTTCTTGGCTTTGCATTGCAACATAGTATCGGACGAGAGGGTAGAGCGACGATATTGAATGCAGTGTGTGCAGTGCCTCATGTGACGTGCACAAGGTACAGAGCTTTGATGCACTCGAAGACTGTCGCTGGAGACGGTGGAACCCAGATCGGCAAGCTTGATATTTACGACGATGTGGAGCCGATAGATCAGATCTACAAGTTCGTAAAAGACCACAAGTTGCCGATGCCTGCGATGGAGCAACTACTTAGGGTGACCTGCTCAGCTATTGGCGACTCTCAATGCTTAAGAGAACTTCCCATAGTGTACTCACAGCGTATTGTCGTGAAAGATGACGAGACTGGTGCACCTCGTCAACTTGGTAACTTACAAATTCCGTTAGGCCAAGAACCAGCAGATCTCGTATACGATTTTGGATTGCATTATGGACTGGCAAAACCATTCCGACAGAATCTGGTGAGAAAGGTTTGTGAAGACAAGTACGTGACTTGTAAGCGTCTCAAGCCGATTGTCTTCGCTTCTCCTGTTAATGTGGAGAACGGTACAACCGTGGGTGTGTTATCAATTCGAGAGGATGAAGAACTAGTGGATGCTGTGCACAGATTTTCAAGACAGACCAACATCACTCGAGACTTGCAAATTTCGTTGTTTCAAGCACTTTGTGGGAGTCGTGATGGAATTTTGTGCACTCGAGGTCAAGCTCTTCTTCGATCTACGCCAGTGAGTGATGGTAGTGGGCAGATTCTAGGCTACGTCAATATATACGAAGGGCAAGAGCCTGCTGACGTAGTTTATCAGTTTGCTGAGCAACACAATCTAGCACCCGGCGACCATGATGTGTTGCTGGATAGCTTTTGCAATCCACCAAAGCCAACACCTGGCCAGGATGAAGACGACGAAGACGAAAACGAGACGCTTACGTGTTCACGTTACGCTCCAGTAGTGTTTAGAGCACCCGTAGCAGCTCAGAATGGCTCACAACTTGGGATTTTAGAGGTGCTTGCTAACGAAGAGCCAGCAGATGCGGTTGCCAGGTTCGGGAACAAACACGATTTGGGCCCGGAAGAGAAGAAGAGCATTGTTAATGGTGTATGTAAGGCAAGTGGACTCGAATGTACTCGAGAAGTTGGGGTTTTGTACGAAGCTATCTACACGCTTCCCGATGGCCGTCGTGAGCGATTACCGTTCTACGATGGTCAAGATTCCACTGATGTAATCTACGAGTACGGTCTGATGCGTAATTTGACGCTACGCCAACGACAAAAGTTCCTCATCGAAGTGTGCAATGAACCGCGCAAGCGTCCAAATTGCACACGTGCTGAGCCGATGCTGATCAATATCCCAGTGTGGGAGTCTGCTAGCACAAAGCTCGGCGATGTACAAATCTTGGAAGGCCAAGAACCGGTTGACGTCGTGTACGCCTTTATGGAAAAGCACGATTTATTCCAGACAGCCCCTTTAAATACGACACTGATCGAGATTGTATGCAATAGTACTCGAGTCGAGTGCAACCGCACGCAGCCAAGGCGTACCTTGTTTTCCGTTCAGGCTACATATGCTGGTTTATCTCACACACTGGAATACGTACGTCCCGAATCCGACTGGATCTGCGAGACAGAGCCCCACGGTGGTCAGCGCTGTGTACATTATGTGGAAGTTCTAGCAAAGAAATTTTGTGAGCGGCACATGTACGAATGGGATGCGTGTGGGTCCCGTATACTAGAGGCATTGCGCCAGCAACTTGAATTCTACGAAATTCGCATGTGGAAAGCCAAAGATATGTATGCAAAATTGGGACTGGTGAAGACTGCAAGTCGCGAACAGATCGACGCGGCCTACAACACATTGGTGAAGCGCTTCAATAATGAGACCGAACCGTACAAATATGAAAAGCTCAAGGAGGCTTATCGCGTGCTGAGCGACCCGGAGGAAAAGTATTATTACGACTTGCCATGCGTCAAACTATTCGGATGCTTATGTGGCAAGCGCCAAAAGGACGGTGGAATCACTTTCACCCCAGACTGAGAACTGCTTAACAGTTTAATAGGGTGTTTCGGAAACACTGTTTCCTGTTAATTTATTTGCTTAATTTTTTTGAATGGTTTTTGTAATCGAAGCTCTCAGGATTCGGATCGTCTTGAAACGGTCGAATCAAAACCAGCAAATATCTTACGACGGAATTTCATTTTGCGAACTGCGGATGATGAACGATGCGGGTGTATCAATGCAGGACGAGCAGCTCCATGCAGCACAGGAGCTGTCGACATCGAAGCTGCTGATCGGTGTATCTAGCGTAGTATCGCTGCTAGGAGCGCTGATGATGATCGCGCACTATCTGGCGTTTCAAGAGTCGCGAAGATGTGGACGACGGCTACTCTTCTGCTTGCATTTAGCAGATGCAGGTGGTGCATGTGCGTGGCTTCTGGTATTTCTCGTGCCAATTCCCGAGCAAGTTGAAGACCCGACAAGTTTTCAGTCACCGAGAATATGCATTGTTCAGGTCTGTACCATAGGAAGTTGCACTCTTGCTACCAGGTTGCTAATAGTTTTCTTTTTGCTCTGCAGGGTTATTCTCTGGTGTTCTTTCAGCTCGTGTCTTGCTTCTGGACTGGGTGTTTTGCCTTCCACCTCTTCCAACTGTTGGCACGACAGTGCAAAGCGCCAGAATTATACGAGGATCGATATCACCTCGTTGCGTGGGGGATACCTGTTGCCGTAAGATGCTTGAGCTGAGGTTTTGGTAGATTGGGTGGTTTGTTAAAACTTATGATCCATGCTGGACAGACTGTGGCTCATCTGTATACGCAGTCTTGGGCCGGGACAGACCTGATAGGCGAAAGTGGACGACCTTGGTGCTGGATACGCTCGTGGAGTGACGATCAGTGGAGCGAACAAGCCTTCTACGTCCAACTCGCTATTTTCTACGTTCCAGTGGTGCTTACCTTCTTGCACAACATCGTGACATACGTGATGCTGCTATACTTAATGGTGAGTGCTGTTGGTATCACGCATCAGTATGTGTTTTTGACTCGCTGACGATTCTGTTGTGTAGACCGACAGCTTGTCGACAAGTATGGAGACTCGGATCCACTATCGACTTCTGCTCTATAGCTGGGCCTTCTTCCTCCCAAACGTGTGGGTTGTCTTTGCGTTCGCCTACCAAGCAGTGGTCTCCAATCATACACTTGACGCTCCGCTCCTGTATTTAATCAGCTTCTTCACTCCGTTGCAGGTATACACTGAAAAGCGTGAGATGTTGCAAAAGTCGTAATACTTACTGTTTGCTGTATTCCAGGGAGCAATGAACACTGTCGCCTACGGAATCAACCGCACGGTACGTCGTGCAACTACACAAACTATATTTTCTCATTCCATTCGATCTAATTTATCTATCGGTCGAGTCCTTCAGTTCCGCCAGCGAGTACGGAGCTGTTGTCGGAGGCGATAGATCCAAGTTTTTTTTTGCACATGTCACATAATAATAATAAAAAACAGTTGCACTAAATTCGGGATTTTTCTTTCCGAATTTAGTCCAACTGTTTTATTTTCGAACTGAGCAGCAATGGACGCGCAGTGTGGCGTGTTGGTGGCGTCGTTTCTATCTTTGCGAGAGCGTCGCGAGCTTCGAGCAGTAAGCCGTCGATGGCTGTTCACCTGCACTTGGTTGCAATTTAGTGGCAATGACAAGAGCGAAGTGCAACCGAGAAAATCTGTCTGGAACCTCCGCAGCCGTGCATTTCGACATGCGTGGACCACCTTCATGCGCGACAAGTGTCATTCATTCCTGCCTCTCCTGCTGAAAATGTTGCCTGTTGCTGCAGTAGAGGAGACCATGGAGCTCAAGAAAGGTCTTTGTTTATCTACAAACATCGGACAGCGACCTTCGTTCGAGAACGCTCATGCTCGCAGCGGGTACATCCAACAGAAAATCAATCGCTGCGGGAATTTGCCCAATTTGCTGCTGACGGAAGAACTCAGTGAGCTACGATCGGAATTGTTTCGAGTAAACCAGTCCAAGCGTTGGAACATGGCACTCTATGGAGGAGGTCCAGGGTACGACGCCATTGGTACAGTCTTCATGCGCGAGTTCTTTCGAGCATGGGATGCGTATTTCCATGCCACCGTGTATGATAATGAACCCGGCTGGAAGTGCGCGATTGACGCAGCAGGGCAAACATTGAACCAACTCGGTCAACGCAACGTCTCACTAAGTTTCCAGCACTGCGATATTACGCTTGATCTGAGTACTGTGGAGAACAAGCACGTCAGTCTGTCGCTGAGAGACACTCAGCTGCATTTGTTCTCGTTCGTTTGCGTGGAGAACTTCTGTCTGCTGCGTGACAGCGAGTACGTGTTCCTGCGCTCGCTTTTCGCGCAGTGCAGTGTCGGCAGCTACTTCATCTTCACGGACTCAACACACCGACTATGGCCTGCCATCTTCGACGTGGCCAACGCCGTCGCACTCGATAGGTTCCGCGTATGGACGCCGTTCGCCCGAAGCTGTCACTACGCACTTGTGCTCCACAAACTACCCGATCGCTCAAAACCAGCGTCCGCGTACCCATTCTACACTCAAGCGAAGCAGAAACTCGAGGATTTTCGACGTCATCAACAGAAACACCTTGAAACCATGCAGACACAACAGCAAGAACGTACGGATCAAGTTGAAGACGAGGGTCGTGCCCTAGTAGAGTTAGCAAGTGTCGAACCTAATTGAGATTATTCTACACACCACTATTACACCACGTTTCTGTCGTCCCTACGAGCCACTGATAGTCGTCGGCATAACCCCCCGAGTAACCTGTAGCTATGACCGAAGTGACGGTGTCTCGCCGCGACTCAGCGGCGTCTGCTCCGTCGTCCCCGGACGAATTGCTCCGTAACGTATTGGCCGAGGAGAACCCGACGGTGTCGGCCCCGCTGGTCTCAGCGCTGAGCAACGACGCGACTCTCGCCCGCTTCATCAGCTTCGTCACACGCGCACCGGTTTCAAGCTCCCAGCTGCCCGATGGTCCCGACGCCAATAAACTCGCGACTGCTGAGGACGCTGCAGCACGCCGCGAAGATGAGACGAAGGAAAATGTGACACCCGAGCTATTGACGTCCTATCGCGCCACGATGCTGCTGACGAACGACGACACAGCAGACGCGCTGCTCACGTTCCTCGGGGACAAGAGCAAGTTGCTGACGCGCTGTCTGTTCCAAGCGTTTCAGAGCGACGCCCAGGGCAACTTACGTCACGCCTGTCGGGTCATCGACCACCTGCTGCGCTTCTATCTGGATGACGTGTACGATGTGCTCGGTAAAGATGCCAAGACCGTGCAGAGGTACATGGGTGCCATGATTCCCTATCTGGAGCATGCGCCCGTGGCCGAGTTGTTCCTGACGCTGGTATGTAAGCCACACAGCGCGGCAGTTATGAGGTTCTACGCCTCGACGCCACCGAAGAAGTGGGCGTTCTTCCGTGCACTGGCAGAATGGAAGATGCTGCTCGTGCTGGCCAACCACGTGTGTAGTACGGAGTATGGAGAAACCCACACCATTGGGGCTGCCGATGTGTTTGTAGAGCTACTGGACCGCCTTGCAGCTGATGAAAATGGACAATTATTGTTGCAACCTGCAGCATATTGCCCCGAATTGCTCGAGGGATTGATCTGTGCTGCTGTGGAGCCTGAAGACAACAAGAATTTGACCCCGCAAAGGAGTGTGGGTCAACGCACTGCTGCGATGAAGTGTGTCTTCCGCTTGCTACAGAAGAGTACGTTGGAGAAGGTGCAGGGCCCGCCCACCAGTCCGTACCAGTCCTTCGGTGCTACAATTGTGAACCTTGTGCCTAACCAGTTGGGTCCGCTGCGTCAAAAGATTTACGAGCTTGTGGAACAGCATCTTGGTGAGGTGTTGAAATACCTTATTCAAAAATACGTGAGCCAGCAGAATATTGAGATGCCCGACGAAGAGTCTGGAAAGCCACTACCGGAGACTGCAGTTCGACACACTGCTTACGTAGTGAAGGTCCCGTTTACGGAATTACGACTGACACTGGTCGAGGCTCTTGTGGAGATTATGGCGCACAACCCGAGTTTGATGAGTGAACATTTCGATGCGAACGTGTGGCGTGTGTTGGTCACGTGGTTCTTTGAGTATTCTCACAACAATCTGTACCATGCAGCTTTCTATCAACTCGTGTTTATCGCGCTGCGCACGGATAACCAACAAGCATTGGAGGTACTTGTAAAAAAGCTTAAGTTGGTAACGCTGTTGGTGGAGCACTACCGTGCGGACGGTGACACTACCAGCAATAAGGGGTACATTTTGCAGATTTGCAATGCTATTCGTCTGCAGGCAGCTTCGCAGTCACCTGAGGCGTTCTTGCGAAACTTCTTGCAGTCACACACGACATGGCGTGGATTTGAGCAGGAATTGCGCGACCAGACCAGTCTACTGTGTGTTAACGGCCTGGGTTTCACGGTGCCTCAGGCTATTCGACCGGGTTATCAGAAGGATTCATGGCAGATGCTGACCGAAGAGCAGACAGGTATCGACCATGGATCAGAGTTTGCCCGTTCTCTAGGTTTCGTGGACGACGTTGCATGGCCCGAAGACGACGCACCTGAGGGTAACAAGAAGCGCAAGAAAAAGAAAAAAGGCAAGAGGAATACGCACCATCTGAACGGCAGCGCTAATCACGACGCGGATGAGGCAGACAGCACCGACGACGAGTTTACTGCTAAACCGGAGGATGCTGCCGCGGCAGCTTTGATCGCAGCCGAGGAAGCTGAACTTGCTGCGAATGGGTCAATAGGGAAGAAGTCTGGTACATCCAACGGAGCAAGTACACCCAAGAAGAAGAAGAAAAGCAAAAAGAAACAGAACAAGAAATAGAGGCCCGATCCTGCCGCTCTTACCTACCACTACGTTGTCGCCTCAAGACACCAGGTTAAAACACCAGCAGCATCCATGCTCCTCGAACCTATGGCTAGTAAGTAGTACTTTAGGTCCCCTCTAGCAGAGCTCCCAGATTTAGGAAATCCCTGTATGTCGAGCTAGCATCTCGATCTTGGGTAAGGATACTTCGTAACTTAGACTTTGGTCATCCTTATGGCAGTTTGGATTATTCTTGTCCTCATGTTCGCTATGATAACCTCCGCCTTCTCGGGAATATCTCGAAGCGAGCGGAGTTAAGTGTTGCTGCATGTTTCATCTGTTCAACATCAAACAATATTCGTGCGTTTGATTCATGGACACCGCGAACAGAAAAGCACGCCGCCACCAGGTTAGCCTTGGCTCAATCATCATATTCATTTTTCCAGCAATGACCACAAACCGAATCACTGAGGTGTTGAAACATGCGAACCTTTCGTCATGTGCATCGGGGGTCTTGGAACACTAATCTCTATCTACGCCCGATTTCCACCTCGAGGAAATTCCGCCTCCCTGTTTCAAGTACGAGACATCCGATTGAGTGAGACGACAGCCCAGCAGTACTCTCATCCAATCAACTGCATACGTACCAAGGGTTAATGCGGTTGTCATCCGATCCATCATCTTCATCCCACGTAATGCGTAGCGACTCCCAAGGTAGCATGCCATGCTCATCAAAGGGTAAGGACCCTGCAGTCACGCCTCCGTAGTACTCACCTGGCTGTCCTTGAGGGTTGCGGAAGAGCATACGGAACTTCTCACCACAACGCCACGTACGATTCACTGCCCACGAATATCGACTGATGTCCACAACATACTCCGGCAAGCGGTTTTCGAGGCGCAGGATGGTCACAATTGACTGAATCGGCAACTTTGTATGTGTCGATTTCTCAGGCTCGGATTCATCTTGCTTGGAGGTGCCCTTCTTCTCTGGTGACAAACTGTCCGTCTTCAACTCACCCGAAACGTCCTCGCATGCTCTAATCTCTTTGGCCCACTTCTTCATTTGTCCGTCCGCGACATATACCAAATTGTGAGCCAAGGGAGGCAAAGTCGGGAAGCGACCTTCGCAAAAGAGCTGGCAGTTGTCACGCATGAGTCTCAAGTCGGTCATAAACTCTGCTGCATTCTTGTACTCCAGCGTGCTTGCCTTCGTGGTCATTTTCCCGAGATCCATGGGTTGCAAGATGATCTCTTTGTATTGTGGGAACTCCCGATCTGACACTGGTTCCAGGAACGGACCAGCATCGGCTAGCATCTTCAGCTTAGCCAAAACTCGCAAAAAGACTCTCGCGAGTCTCTGGTCTCGCGAGGGTAGAGGGCAAAAAAGAGTTCCCGGCTCGCGAATGCATTCGTGGTTTGCCATGTCCGAAATCGGCTTCAACACTGCCAGCGCATACGGGTCTCCTCCGCCGTGATGATACGATACTTTCTCCACTGTGCAGATCACACTCGCCTTACGGACAGGAGTATCACTTTTCTGCGTGAAACGTTTTCTCTTCGACTTCTCATCTTCTTTCAACGCTAGAGCGTGACCATCTCCGAAGTATACGACGGTCTTTCCGACCTCAGGAATAAAATTCCGGGTCTCCTTAGGTCGCAACTTGAGCCATTCCCGTCGATCCAAGCGAATGTGCAGGTCCATAAAAGCTTCGACGTTGAGGAACTCTTCTAGCAGCAAATGCAGCAAAAACACCAGCTGAGCGTATGTACAAGAGCCCTCCAATGCCAGCCGCCACTCGTGTCGCTTTCGCTGCCATGAAGGTCGGATTGTCTCCACTCCAGAATTTAAAGCCGCCACTGCTGCGTTCTCCAATTCAGAGAACAAATCAAGCTCGTCTTTAAACGACTTTGCTGCTTCCACGCGAGCATTCCATGTGTGGGCACCGTCCCATGAAGCAGACAACGTGTTCGCATTTTCGAGATGTTGCTTCAGGCACAACAGCATTTTACGAGCGATATTTTGCGACTTGATGACCCTGTCTTCGTCCGTGATAGTCATAACATCACTCTTTATCGCACCACCAGGAAGAGGGAACATTTGAAGCTCGATGCCACCCTTGGTATTCCACACAATGCCTGGTGCAGCATCGTCGTCTTGCTTGTCTTCTTCCTCGAAGTTACTAAGCAGCTTGTCTTTTACCTCCTGCAGCTTGGTTAACAAATCCAGTTCTCGCACACCCTTCGGGTTCAACCATTCCAAGATTGTCGTAATGTCAGCTGCAGTCTTGCAAACCACAAAGTCTCCAGAGTCTCCACGCTCAATAAACAACCTAGGCTTTGTATCGTGCTTGAACATGAAATACGAGTTGTGGTATCTGTCTCTTCCGATAGGAGACTCGCGAATGACAACCGAGCTCAGCTCACTGGCCATTTCCTCCGCCTGCGCCTTTTTTTCTTGCTCCAAGTTCTTCTCATCCTCGAGTTTCTCCGCCTGCAGGTCTTCGAAAAACTTGCCGATGAACTCATGTCGCCGCTTAATGCCCTCCGAGAAAACGTTGTGCGAGTTGGGATGGATACCTTGGTTAGCACAATCCCTTCTAAAGGCATTCTCTCTTTCGCGTCGCATTTTGTCCGAGTGCTTTCTCCGGGAATCCAAATCGGCGGCGCGCTTTCTGTAATTCTTGTAAATTAACATCTCCTGATCTACCTGAGATGCCATGTAGGTGCGAATACTAGATAGTGTCAAGAACTCCGAGCAAATCCACGAGAGAGCACCAATCTTGTACGCGGTTGGGAGCTCGTGGAACTCCGAGCAGTATAATCCATACACAACATCGGCGTATTGAAAGGACTGAAGCTCTCCGGCGAACGGATCTTGCAGCGTTTGTTTAGCCTTTTCGCAACCTTCAATACGACTTTGGTTCGCTCGAACCCGTCCAACCACAAACCGCTCGTAGTCTTGCTCAAACACATCCGACAAGGCTAAAGCAGCGCGACCCACGTCTGATTCTTCACCATTGTATAGTACAGCGTTATCCCACACCAAACGAATATCCTCAGCAAACTTCTCGTATCCATCAGGTCCCTCGTAACCTCCCGAATCGATCTTCTTCTTGATAGTGCCCAGGTCCATCGGATTCTTAATCACTTGCGCGTAATCTTCCAGACCCTTTAACGACGTATCAACAGGGGCATTAAAGGGGCCTGAGTTGTTCTGCATGTACAGCGTCTGTCGAACAATCTCACAGCCCACCAACGGTTCCACGCGACCAAGGGACGGGTCGATTCCAAGATCCTTAGCCATCAACTGGCGGAGAATCTCTTGCCAAGTTACTGCATTCAGCATGTCGCCATTGGCACGTTCGCAAATTCCATAGGTTCTCTCGCTGTTCACAAACAAATCCGACACCTTAATGTTGCCTTCAACAACCAGATCATCCAGCGGCGACATGAACGATTTTTCAGCTAAAATAACGCGTAAAAACGCCATGAAGATTCTGGTCAAACCAACGTCGGTCCCTTCGTCACAGCGAGCCGTGATACACTCGACGAGAGCCTCCAATGAAATCATCTCAAGTCCAACAAAACCCTTAAAGGTGCAGATCGTTTGCCACGCCATGATGAGCTCGCCAAGCAGTGGTCCTTTGACGCCCTTCAAGTCTGAGCAATTCAACGGTAGGCTGTTAGAGTTTACCGCATCTCCTTCCAGCAGGCGCAAGTCTTCCACAGGATATTTCAGCTCTTCCTCTTTTAGTTTCCGCTCTTCTTCTCGTTCATCCTTCAGCCGTTGACGCTCATCCTCAACCCGTTGCCTCTTTTGAAGACGCTCATTCTCTCGTTTCGCACGACGGACTTCCCGTTCGGCCATCTCCTTTTGGTGCCTCGCCTCACGTAGAGTGTAATTTTCGTGCAGGCGGTGGAGCTGTTTGAAAAACATCGACTCCAGATAGGTGTCCTTATCAGGGAACAGGTTAGATATCTGAGCCCGGATGAATGGGTAGTTCTTCACGAGAAACCAGCCAGACTACAAAGACACATCATTCAATAGCACAAGCATTAGATAATAAAACAAGACCCACACTCACTCCACATCACAGCAATCCTACCGCGCGATATCTCCCTAGAAGAGACAGCTCAATAATCTGCTGAAGAGTGGCCCGATATGACACCTTCTTGTTGATGGGCAGCCACTCCTTGAGGACGTACGCTACAAGGTAGCTAGCTTCAAACAGATACCGAACGTGCTTGAAAGTCTCACGATACGACGCGTGTGGCAGCAGCCCGGATAACGGTCCCGCAATCTTGTACCATGCATGAGGTGTGATAACCCACAACGTAGGATCTCCCTCTGCGTAATCGAGGCACCAATCCGTGATTTCCGGAAGCCAAACACGAGTGCGTGGGTAAGTATCAGGATGACGGAAACCGCATTCCATCAAGTTCAGCTCGTCGGGAGTTCCCTTCGCATTGACTTCAACAGCATGGTCAGTCCGCATAAGTTCGACAACGTCCGAAGGCAAACCAGCATTTCTCGAATCGACTCGGGCACTCGGTCTCCTTTGTTCTCTCTCTGCAGCAGGTCGTTTAGATTCGGCAGCCCGTTGGGTTGGGTGTTCCGAATTAACGGCCGTCGCGGTCTTTGTAGATGGGCGCCAACTTGCTGGAGTCATTCTCTCACCGTTTTCTGCATCACTACCGCCCGAAGACGAAGAATTGCCGGAGTCACTACCACTCCCACTTGAGCTACTAGAGGCGGAGGAGAGGAGCTCACTATCGTTGTCTGAAGCAGCACCAGATCCACTTTTGCCTGAGCGCATATCTTCATCGTCTGAGGTTAGATCACTACCTCCACTGTCTGAATCAGATTGTCCATCCATTTGAGTCAGGTGACTTGGATAAAACGGACTGGGGAAACGGTACACATTCGACCGCTGGAAAATATCACTTTCTCTGGAGCATGAGGTCTCGCCCTCCTTTTCTTCGAATTCGCCATCGCCTTGATCAATTCTCTCATCGTCAACCTTCGCCCGTTTAGTGTCATTTGAGCCGCTAGCTGCTAGAGCGTACCATGCACGTCAGATACGAGCAAAATATTGAACACGAAGCCAGAACTACCCGATTACCTTTCGGCCTGGCTCGCGACTTCGAAGCAGGAGATTTTGCAGGAGTGGATGAAGAAGAATCAGCTCGCGGACGCTTCTTAGAGCGTGAAGGAAATGCCGGAGACGCGAGAATTGGTTTGATTGGGAGAGGACGCTCAGCCAGTGGTAAATGCTCTACGACTGTTCCAAAGCCCATAATTTTTGGACGCTGGTCTTTTGGTCGATCCAGAATCTCGAGACTAATTGCTTTGCTGCAACCAGACAACATACCAAGTAAATATCAGTCCACCTTCAAGCCAAATTGTGTGGTGACGTACCCATTTTCGTCGCAGAAGAAAAACATGTCCAAAAGGCGCAGGATATCACCACCATGAGCGTACGGGTCATTAAAATGAGCCGGAATGTTGGACTCGATCGTTTCTTCGGGATGATCGCCAGCTAGAGCAGGGTCCACTAATGACAACTCTCTTGCACCGCGAATCTCTCCAGCAGGGACAGTAGGCCCTGTTGGAATTAACTTGGGCAACACAGGTGGGCCAACAGGGTTGGTCGGTGCAGCGGGCAACGCCCCATTCGCTTGGGGTATCGGTACTGCAGCAGTCGCACCTTGTGAGCGACCTGCGGACTGCTTTTTCTTCGTAGATCTAGAACCTGCAACGGGTTTTGCTTTCCTAGCTGTGGATGATCCAATTCGCGCCGTGGCTTTTGAATCTGTCACCTGGAACGAGGGCTTTTTGCTCGAGTTCAACGTAGAAGCTCCACGACTATTCGCAATAAACCCTGGCGGGAGCTTCAGAGTAACCTTTAATGACGACGGATTCTCAGACACGTTCTTCTTCGTTGTAGCTTTCCGCTTCGGCCTTGTCGAAGCAGGTGCCACAGGTGCTATAGCAGCATTACTAGTAGGTGGAGGTGGTGGAGGAGCCGGCGTTTCTGAGTCTGACAAGTCGGATGAGTCCGAGCTAGAACTGTCACTTAATGAGCTGTTACTGGAAGAATCGTCTGGAGCCGTAGGAGGCGGCAGCGGAGGCGGAGGAGGAGGCGGTGGGAGGCTCGGAGGCACTGCTATCGGTGCGAGTTTCTCAACCTTCTTCTTCTTGGTGGGAGATCTTCTCGGAGCCGCAGGTTTCGCTTTCTTCTTCGTTTTCTTCCTACCACCGCTAGTGGCACTGTCCAAGTCTGAATCGTCCCCGTAGTCCGAGAGAGCCACGTCCACTCGCTTGCCTGGGCGTGCTCTAGGGCCCGTTTTCTTCTTCACAGAGGCTCGTGGCGCGTCCGAGTCTGACTCCGAGTCGGAGGAGGACGAGGAGATCGCCGATGAGCTTGACGACGACGATACGTCGTCCGAGTCAGACGAAAGGCTCGACGAACTGCTGGAGTCCATGTACTTAGCGCTCATCTCGACCGACATGATGTCCGCGAGCGCCATCTTCGCGCGCTTTCCGCCTTCTTAGGGGTCACGTCTTGGGTCTGACGCGGGGACTTGAGGCGCCTGTGCACTCGCGTTTACTCTGGTAACGAACCCACCCGAACTTACTCTCGTCGCGCCACGTTTAGGCCGGTCCGGAGCTCGCTCTGTGCGCGTGCAGCCACGAAATCTTCGCGCAGAGTGATGGTCATAATCGGATTAGACGGGTGTTGAAGGTTAATATGGAAGTTTGTAGGCAGTGTCTTCTCTAGTGCGAAACTGAGAATAGACTGAGATCGATCGATGGTTGTTTATTTTGAGATTGACTTTGAACTAAAGTTGGAGCCGCATGGGGCTCAAGCCTCCATTGCTGCTCGTTGTCGTGTGTGTGGGGGTGGAAGCTGAACGCCTCTCGCTGCTTTCGTCGCGTGCACGCTCCAGAATGTGCCGCTTGATGTCCAGGAACGAATCGATGATCTCGTCTTGGACAAGCTACCAGCAGCGAAGGATTAGATCAGTTATTGCGGGGATCAACAGACGCAGCATACAAGTTAAGAGTTTGTCCGTACCAATGGGCAGCTGTGTAGAATGGACATCATGTAGTACCCGAGGTCGCGCTGCCGCTTGTCCACAAAGTCTGCCGACAGTGACGAGCCGATGTACTTCTTGCTTGGCAGATACGGGAACATCGGCGCCCGCGATGGATACTTCTCACGTAGCTTATATCCCAATAGACATCCCAGTACACTAAGTTAGTTCATGCCCTGTGAACACACTGTTCAATTCTAGTCGCAAATGGCTCCTCTGGGCTCACCAATATGTCAATCGCACAAAACTCGCGATAGCGGCGGACGACGTCCCAAATCTGCGTACTCCATCGTGCAACATGAGCTATATGCCACCAAACTTCAGCATTAAATATGCATCGAATTGACCTCTGGAGTTCCATTTTGCTCAATCCACGAGCAGCGCAAAATATATTCCTGCAGGTATAGTTTAAGTGAGCTATGATGTCTGTCTTGAATGGTAAGATGGAACGTCCTTACCGTGTAGAACTTGCCGCAGTCCAGATCGAGAGACTCCTGGCTGCCCATTACTTCCACGCGGAAGTCGCCTTGCAGGATCGCACCGCTGCTCGGTCGCTGCCGCGGCTGAAGCAGGGGCGATGACATCCTTGTTGCAATTGTCGAGTGATTGTAAAGAAGTAGGTCGCAATACTGTTAGAAAGCATATTGTAAACTACCTTATGTCATGGTTATTTCACTTCAACTTGTACATCCATATTTTTTTTTCAGTTTTTAAGGCAACAAGTAGAAGACAAAACAACAACAGCTCTTATATTCGACGGAAACGCAGGTTCCACTTTACACATGACAGTCCTTGAAGAGACATCAATCGCTAGAGTCTGAGTCGTCCGAGTCCGAATCGAAGGCGGCTGCAGTGGCGAGGCCGAAGAGTAGCGGTGCAGGTTTCTTCTTTGTCTTCACTGGAGAGGCCTTATCAGCAGGTACTTCGACCGTTCGGGTCTCTCCCCACGTGACAGTTTTTCGTCGGCCCGGGCTGGTACGTGACGAGGAGGACAAACGCTCGCCAAACAAACTCTCCGCTTCGTCGAAGCTGTGCACCGACGATGCAGGGGAGGCTGGGGTAGTAGGGACATCCAAATGACTGTTCTTCAGTTTTGGCTGCTGCTTTGGAGGCGAGCACTTAGGCGTGATGGTCTCCCCGAATAAGTTTTCAGCATGGAATTCCTCTTCGTTCTCACTTGTGGTGTCAGAATCAGCGCGATTCTTCACAACTGGGGTAGGAACGAATTTCGATACTGTTGGAGTTGTCACTGGCGTCTGGTATGGAGTACTCACAGTGATATTTATCAGTGGAGGCGGCGTTGCGGGTGGTGGCAGCACTTGGGGTTCCGGCATGGGCTCTGCAAACTTCATCTCCTTGTTGGTCGCAGTCGTTTCTTCTGTGAGTATTGTGGCTGGTTCGTTTTGCACCGATATGGCCGTTGGAACTGATACGACTTCAGGAACGGGTGGTTGGATAAGTGTAGAAGTACTCTTGAAGATAGTGTTACCACCAGCAGGACTACCGAAGTGGTTCTGAGCTCTGGTACCGGCGGTATGGTCCATGTCGTTGACCTGAAGAGCCTCACTAGAAAAACCCGCGGAAAGTGCTTTAGATGAGGCTCCAGCAGGAGACGCCTTTGATGCAGCCGGTTCAATAATCGAGGTTGTCACCTCGTTATCAGTAGTAGCTGCAGTAGTCATAGCGATCGTCAGAGAGGTTGATGCTCGCAAACTGTGGATCTCACGCTCCAGTGCATCTTCGTTTCGTAGCAAGTAGTTTTCGGCGGCAAGAAGTAGAGCATTACATTTCACCATGCTTGGTTGGACGCTCAGCAAACACGGCACCAATTGCAATGCACGCATAGACCCAAAGTGCTTGATGAGTGTATCCAGATATGCAGGCGCATCCATGAAATCGGTCCCAAATAACCGGGAATTGACCTTAAATTCCTCCAGTCGCGCCTTGTCTTTCTTGAGCAGCTTCCTTACCACCTTCTTGATGTTCTTCTCCATATCGACTGCAGCACTGTCGTAAACGCGGATAACCTCATCTGGAAGAGTTGGAACGGCTTCGACAGGTAGAAGAAGACGGAACGGGTCGATCTCATTGCAGTAGGGCGAATTTTGTGCCAATTGCTTTGACGTCGTCAAATTCGCTGCTGGGTCGCGTGGTGCATCAACTTGGACATCTCGAGTAGGGGGAGAAGATACGAACTTGGTTGTGTGGATTGATGCTTTTACTGCATGTCGCTTAAGAGGTGTGGCCGCAACTGACTCATTTTCCATCCTTTTCACCATAGCGCGGACTGGTGACAAGGGCTTCGGCTCCTGCTCAGTTTCCACGCTTTCTTCCAGCTTGTGGTTGCCTTCGGAATCTGCTGTGCTACATGAAGAGGTCGATAAATCCGAAGAGGAAGAATGCTGCTTCACGACAGGGGCTGGTGGTGAGGTGGGGAACGTCATAGGATGACGAGCCGGTGGCGGTGGCGGAGCAGCAGTAATAGACTTCTTGGCTTCAAACACAGCTCGCGCATTCTGAAAAGCTGATACTGATGTTTTCTTTTCCACCGTTGGCTCCGTCGTCGTCGTATTAATAGGTGTTGGCGTCGCGATCACTGGAGCAGGAAGCGGGTCTTCAACTTTCGGAGGGGGCCATCTCTTCCCAGGGAAATGCGTCGGCTTCGGAGCGGAAGGCGCTGACGAAACAATGTTGAGCCACCGCTGCGCCATGCTCTGTCGGACAGGGGAGCGGGTGCCGTTGCTGGAGTGCAGCGGCCGAGACGCCATGTTCAGGGGACTTGTGCTCTTGAGTTTGACGGGCTCCGTCTAGCGATTACTCTTCAAGTCGAGCCATTGTGCAGGGTGGAGTAACGGCTTTCGAAGAATCATCCAATGGGGGGGCGCGATCCATATCATGTACCATTGCATTGGTACAGTTCATGTGTAAGTAGCCGATACCGTCGCTCTGTAGAAGCAGAGTACGCACTGCGTAAAGCGGAAGCTTTTTACTCGTCCTCCCAAGGCCAGGTTGAAGGTATCTCGCGAATCCTCACTCCAAAGCAGAGGGAGGTCGCAGTAGAGCGAGGGATAGCACCTCCGAGATTGGCCATTTGTCTAATCATTCGGATTGATGCAGGCGAATTGATCGCCGGCCGCTTTGCCAACCTTGTTGGTTGAACCAACAGCCAAGTTGCCGACAACTCCAAGCAGAAAATTCGCATGGCGTCGTCCACTTTTTAAGGCAGTGCCTTGGTGATCTTGCGTCTTGGCGACCGCGACGTTGCCGAGCGACAAGGAACGTTCCCTTTATGTTGAACTTGCCAGCGAATTCTTATTCAAAGCCTTGTTGCTGTCCTCTTCACCAAAGACACTGAATGCCGCCTCTTCAAGGCGGGCACTCGAAGTTTACGCGGCCACCTTCCTTCGTCCACAACATTGACCGCGCGCCGTTCTTGTGGTTACCGCCGGGATGCAAGGCAAGCACCGGACAGCTTCGCTCGTCACAGACCGCCAGGAGATTTTTATGGGGCCCCTTTTTCACAAAACCACATGTACGTCACCTTGTCGTGATTGGACAAAATGCCAAACAGATGCGAATTCCATTGGTCAGCCAAATAGCTGATGCTGGTGGTGCGCATTGATATGGCGACCTGATTGCTCAAACGCCTCCGTCTTCAACCGCGGACGTGGCTCTGGCTCCGCTCATTCCGCATTTTGGTTTTAGGAGCTCATTAGCCCAAGTGACCTACACTCTCGCTCTCAATCCATTGCCCACTCCATTGTTTTCAGCATGATGCAGACGATCGTTAAGCGCTCGGCCACCGCGGCCAGAGCTAATGCGCGCCGTGCCTTCTCGAACGCAGTCGCCCCCGAGGCCGGCAAGGACCGCCTCATTCTCTTCGACACGACGCTGCGCGACGGCGAGCAGTCGCCCGGTGCTACGCTTAACTTCAAGGAAAAGTTGGACATTGCGCGCGCCCTAAGCACGCTAGGCGTGGACGTTTGCGAGGCAGGCTTTCCTATCTCGTCTCCCGGCGACTTCGACGCCGTGTCGGCCATTGCCAAGGAGATCGGCCCCATCACGGCGAATCGCGCTACGGGCGAGCCCATGACCATCTGTGGTCTTGCTCGTGCCATGGAGAAGGACATCCAGCGCTGCTACGACGCCGTCAAGCACGCGCCCAAGCACCGCATCCACACGTTCCTGGCCACGTCGGACATCCACCTTAAGTACAAGCTTAAGATCTCGCGCGACGAATGCATCCGTCGCGCTGTGGACGCCGTTAAGTTCGCGAAGAGCCTGACGCCGGACGTCGAATTCTCCACGGAGGATGCTGGACGCAGTGACCCCGACTTCCTGTGCGAGGTCCTCGCAGAGGTCATCAAGGCCGGCGCCACCACGCTTAACATCCCCGACACGGTCGGCTACACGGTCCCGGGCGAGTACGGATCGCTTTTCAGCTACCTGATCGACAACACGGAGGGCAGCGAGAAGGCTGTCTTCTCCACGCACTGCCACAATGATCTGGGTCTCGCTACGGCCAACACGCTGGCTGCTGTGCAGGGTGGCGCGCGTCAGGTTGAAGTTACCATCAACGGTATCGGTGAGCGTGCCGGTAACACGGCTCTGGAGGAGCTGGTGATGGCCCTGAAGACCCGTCCTCAGCACTTCCCTGTCTACACGACCGTGGACTCGACGCAGATCACGCGTTGCAGTCGTATGGTGAGCCACTACACTGGTATGTCCATCCAGCCCAACAAGGCCATTGTGGGATCGAACGCCTTCGCTCACGAGTCCGGTATCCACCAGGATGGTGTGCTGAAGCACCAGGCCACGTACGAGATCATGCTGCCGGAATCCGTTGGTCTGAGCGAGAACAAGATGGTGCTTGGCAAGCACTCGGGCCGTCACGCGTACAGCAAACGTCTGCAGCAGCTCGGCTACACCGACCTCACCCCGGAGGAACTCGACTACTACGTCGAGAAGTTTAAAGTCTTGGCTGATGAGAAGAAGACGGTCACGGACGCCGACATGGAGGCGATTGTGTCGGATGAACTGTTCAAGCCCGAGACTTTCTGGACGCTGCAGTCCGTGCACGTCACTGCAGGCAACCTCGTGAAGCCAACGGCTACTGTCACACTCGCCCACAAGGACGGCCAGGAGGTGAGTGAGGCCGCTATGGGTACCGGTCCGATTGACGCTGTCTACGTGGCCATCAAGCGCGCCACGGGCATGGAGAGCATCAAGCTCAACGACTTCTCTGTTGAGAGTGTCACGGATGGCACGTACGCGCTGGGTGAGGTGACCGTGCGGGTGCAGGAGGACAAGGAAGAGGAGGAGAAGACTGATGATGAGAAGCACGTCAACGCGCAGACGGGTCTCACGCGTGACCGTCAATTCGTCGGCCACGGTGCTAACACGGATATCCTAGTTGCCTCTGCTACGGCCTATGTGAACGCCGTTAACCGTATGATGGCGTCGCAGGCACGTGCTGTTGCCGAAGCTCGGGTGGACGCCTAAGATTACGAGAATACAACATCCAAGTAACAAGGACCTCGCCTCAAGCGATTGCGGATCCGAGCAAGGAATTATCGTCGACGAATGATACCAAGCGAGAAGGTACTCGATTGCGATGACGAGTGTGCCGTGCGTATGTATTATCTAATCGGTGTGAAGAGCATTACGCCAGCAGAATGAACAGCAAAAATATAGCGCCCAGGCTCGCGATACGATGCGAACTGGAGCGAATGTCTCTACTAACTTGCCTTTTGTACCTATGTTACTCAGCCGTGAGCCCATCGTAGGGAGTGAGGCCGCTGTTGTTTTCGATGGTGTCGTCTGCGCCGTGAGAGATCAGGTACTCGCCCAGGACGCCTTCACTGTCGTACGCCATAGCGAAATGCAGTGGTGTGTTGCCCTGCGCATTGCGGTGATTGACATTGGCTCGACGAGCTACCAAGAGTTCCACCATTTTCTGGTTTACATTCTGACAGGCAAGCAGCAGCAACGTGTTACCTTTATCGTCTTCGCTGTCAATAGGGAATCCAGCATCCAGACTCTCCACAAGCCGCTTCATCCGCCCATTGCGCGCCTGCGAGAACACGGTGTCTACATCCAATGAACTCTCGTCTCCAGCAGGTTCCTGTCCTCGAGTACGTGCTGCATTCGCCTCGTGGTTCACAGCATCCAGTTGAGCTCGTTCCGCAGCTGTCAATGGCAGTAACTTACTGCGAGCAGCTAACAGCTTACGCACGTGAAGTTTGTGTGTTACGCCCAGGATTTCAGCCATGTCCTCGGCTCGGAGTTCGATAAGGAATTCGCCGTCCACCGCGCCTTCACGGAATGCAGCCTTGTACTGCGGTAACGACAAAGTGTCAAGCCATCGACCCACGTCGTCCACAGTCCATGCGCGCAGTTCCTCGGGCAGTGGTTGCTGCTTTCCTGGAGCCAGGGCTTCCTCTTCTTCGCGCTCTTGCTGTGCGAGTTCCTGTTGTTTACGCTGCGAGACCGTCGTGAGCAAATTGCTGATGGCATCTCCTCCTATCTTCTTCTTGGCGATAGCTGCCGTGACTGGTGTGATATTAGCTGCAGCAGCAGCACATGCAGCTGTGGCGGCAGTCTCAGCTGTGGACGTGATGGCCGCTGCGGTGGTGTCGGCGTTGATATCTCGCAAGTTCTTGAGCATATTGAGCGAACTGAAGTATGACAAGGACATGGACATGAACTGGAACTTCATAAGCTCCTCTGTGGACTCGAACATGGCCTGGGACCGCGCCTCATGCTCACGTGCCTTAGCTGCTGTAGCTGCTGCGGCAGCTGCCGACGTGGCTGTCGCTGTCTCGAGTTCGATGCCTTTTTCTCTCAAGTTTTCAAGCTCGAGCTTCTGCTCTTCCAGTAGCTCCATCAGATGACGTTGCAGACGCGCAAACTCGCGGTCTTTTCGCATACGAGTCTGCTCCATGTCAGCGAGACGCTCTTCCAGTGCTGCGAGTGTGTCACGTTTGCGTTGTACCTCAGCAAACGCACCTGCAAATTCAGCCTCCAGATCCCGCTTCTTCTTCTCACGCTCGCTACGTTTAATAGTAAGCGCCATCTCGACAGCATATGCGTCAGCTTGACGCTTCTTGAGCGCCACCTTGGACTCCAGCGCGTTTTCAGCTCCTAGTTCGTACGGTGCGCTACCATTGTTGTCCAGTGAAGAGGAAGCTTCGAGTATGCCATTTCCAAGAGGTTGGTGCGCCGACGATGAACGGTGATTCCGCAGCAAACCCTCTACACCTCCAGCATGCAGGCGCTCGGCTTCGTGTGTTAGTTCGCGTACGTCGGCATCGAGCTGGTCAATTTCTTGCAGCTCGCGTTCCAGCACAGCCAGCTCTTTCTCAGCTTCACGTAACTCATTGTGGACGGTACTGACTTGACGCTCGGCTGCCTCCTGTGCACGATGTAGAGCGTCTAGTTCGCTCTGCTGTCGTTCGAATGCCTGCTTCGAGCCTTCAATCAACTGTAGTCCAAGTGCCAGTCGTTCAGCTCCAGGCGGTGCATCACGCCACTGCTTCTTGCGTGCAGCTTCTCGACGTCCCAAGAAACCACGATACAGTCTCTGAATCTCCAGTGCGGCAAGCTCGGAGAACCGAGCGGTAAGGAATTGGCCACGAGCGACGTACATGCGCCACGTTGCTTGCAGTTTGGCAGCGTTTCGGTCGTGAAATCGGCGTCGTTCTTGTTCCTCACACAGTCTTCGAGCACGTCTACGGCCACGGTGACCACGATAGACTCGCTGCAGTATTCGCGCTTTGTTTTCTCGGCGCTTTATACGGTACGCTACACGGCAAGCAAAACCCCGGAAGATTGTCTCAATGAGCGTGGCAGCGTGCAATTGTCTTGCAGTCTCCTCTGTCTCCTCGAACACCCGACGAAAGCGTCGACGACCCATTCGGCCTCGAACAATTCGGACGATTTCTCCACCAGCGAACCGTTTGACACGCTCCTGCTGCAATTCACGGCGAATTCGATCAACTCTACGAGTGGCCAAGAACCGACGGATGTACTTCTGCACTCGCGTAGCTTGAGCGTCGCGTCTTCGTCTCAACTCACGCTTCATGTTGGACTCGTTTGCTCGCGTATCTTCGCGGAAGTTTTGCTGTAGTGAAGAACGCACCTCATCGTACTGCTCACCCGTGAGATGACTTCCTGTCTCAATGCCAGGTCCAAGGGCTCGTCGTTTTTGCTCTCGTCGTTTTCGAGCTTGCTCTTCTGCCTCCAGCTGGTCGAATATGCTCGGGAGTTCGGGCTGCGCTCGAACGTTTTGCTGCGTTTCCTCCACAGACGGAGCCAACAGCGCACTCGGAGATTGAGCTGAAGAAGTCGGTATTTCAACAGCCAGCTCTAGTGCCAACAACGAAGCAGGCGTTGATGTGTCTAAGAGTGCGCTGCTTGCGGCTAAGACAGCCTCATCCTGTGCGAGTTGTTCCAGATCCCGTTGTTTGGATGTGGCCAACCGCTCAGCTTGCTGAGCCTGCAATTGTGTTTCAAGAGCTGCCAGTCGCTCGCGATCCTCCTGTTCCCATTCACGTCGTCTCCGCTCTTGCTCCTCTCGTAGGGCAGCCATACGTTCCTCGGTTGCAGCGCGGTGTTTTTGACGTTGTTCTTCTGCTTCTTTCTCCAAGCGTTCTTCTTCGGCACGAATTTTGGCTCGAACTCTTTCCATGTCGTCGTCCAACTGAGTGCCATTGCTCTTCTCATAGTGTTGGGAGTGTGGTAGCGTTTCATCTTCGCTATCGTGTGATTCTTGCTGCGGATGTAGCACTACAGGAGGGACGGCAGGAGGCAGCAGCATGTCCATGGGCACAAACGATTGGGATATCGAGATTTCTGCAGCTTCTTCTGTCAAAATCGGCGCCGATGTAGTCTTAACCTCTTGTTGTTGCCACTTTTTCTTCTCGTACGCAGTCTTCTGTGCTTCATGTGTGCGTAAGGCTTCCTGGAAAGCACGCTCGGACATTTCCAGTTGAAGCTCGTATGGAGACTTGCTGGCTTGCTGGGAAAATGTATCTACCGGTGGGGCAACGACAGGTTGAATTGGTGGCTCTGATGTTGATGAAGCAGTTTGAACGGGGAGACTTACGCTAGGTTGTTGAACCGCTGACTCATTTCTCGTCACTGACTTCTGCTGCTCATGCTCTTTTGTTGTTTGTTGTTCTTCGAATTCCTGCGCAGCTATCCGCTCTTTCTCCGACAGCTCCAGTTGACTGTTCATAAGTATGTCAATCACCTCCGTGACGTAGCTTTTCGCTTCCTGACGGAGCTCATGTCCAGCTCGGAGCCACGATACAAAGGCGCTATTTGGAGTTGCTAGGGCCTTCCTCAACTGAGCACGAGTCTTGGGACGTAGATCACTGGTGTGCGATTGTTGGTGAGACCATACATGCTGGACGTTGGCACGGCCTTGAAGGAATGGATCAACGTTTGTAGGGGCTACAAGTGTGTTCTCTACCGACTGAACCAGTACAAGTGGCACGTTAATCTCTTCAAGTTGTGAGCTGAGGTCCATGTGACGAAGAGCTCCACGACATAATCGAATGCGACCGTCAAGCGTAATGGCGTTGGTCACAGCTGTGTAGATACTGAGCGCTAAGTTCATGTCGACTTTTTTCAAGTACGCGTCGGAAAAGAGGAATTTGCTGAAGAAAGATACTGGCAAATCTGGACGTGTCGGTGGCAGGCAGGCAAAAACATTCACTGCACTATGAAGTACCGCAGCGAGCTGTGCATCCACGTTCGCGAATCCGTTGAAGAGTGCGAGCGACTGCAAGTATTCATTGTAATTCTTACCGTAAAGCACAGTGTAGCAGGCAGCGACGTTGGCTCCGTTGCCAAATCCAATGATGTGGAAAGGAGCTCCAGTGGTCACAAACTGAGTCGTGTGCTGCAAGAAATTGAGTAGCTCGTGGACTCGACGAGCAAGCCACATATTGTTCAGCACGAGCTTGTCTTCTTCGCGGGCTTGATCGTCGACAGCATACGAAGAACCAGCCTGTCCAGGGAAATTGAATAGCAGTGCTTGAGCACCCACGTTTCGAGCAACAATGGGCCGGAAGAACACTCGAGTGTTCTCAAGCGTGTCGAAGAGGTCGTGAAAGACGACGAGGTTGCATTTCACGGTCTCGCCAATGGGCTGTCCAATTACAGCGTATGGTATCTGTGTGACGCCATCCTGACAGGTGAATACGTTGTCTGCTGTGCTTCCCACCACGCCATCTTGAAGCCCTGACGGTGCTGCTAAACGTGCCATTTGATGTGCTTGAATGGCGCGTCGAGCTGCTTTTTTCTGGTGAATTCGGCTTCGTAATTTGGATAGTGGACCATCGTTGCTCGTGTCGCTTGCTTTAGCCTTCTTTGCTGCCACTTTTCCACGTTGAGCTCCTTTTAGTTGCGAAATGGCGACACCGGGTGGTAAAATCTCTGGCTTAAGGAAACAAAGCATGCGACGTGTCTCCGGGTCTTGCATTTGCAGCTTCTGATTCCACGCATAAGCTTGCAGTACAGTCCGAATCCAATCGCAGAATCGCGCAGCAGTTGAACTAATTGGCGCGATCTGTGCCGGTGTGAAGAGTGAGTTACGAGCATGTGCGGCAGCCTGCATTACAGCATGTTCAGAGAGCGATTCCAAGTCTATACGATGCAATCGAGCTAGTAGTTTATCCTGAGAAATAACTCGTTTGACTTCTCCCCAGTCTCCACCTCGTGATCCCAGAAGTAAAGCTCCCAGTGCGCTCATAACCATTGCGACAGCAGGATGGGGGTTTACAAAGCTATACAACTCCGCGGCATCCTTTTTGGTGATGGAGGCAGCCACACTGGCAGTTTGTGCCCATACGTGCGTCCATACATGCTGCAAGTCATCCAAGCTTTCGTCATTATTGTCGTCTTCATCACTTTCCTCCTCTCGACTTTCAACAATCATGAGCTGCTGCATCCGCTTGCCGCTCTGCTTGCCTGGACTCCGGCGATTTGGACTCGATTTCTCACGCCGCGCGATTTGATCCAGAGCTTTCATGCGGACTTTTTCCACCAGCGTGTAAAACTCGTAGCAGTTGGCACACACCTGCACGTCTCGGTAATAGTAACCTGGAAAGGTGACTCCGAGAGGTTCGCCATCTCCGTAATAAGCTTCGGCGAGGTAGTCACCGTCTTCTCCATTCTGATATCGCCGAATGAACAGATCCACCAGCTGCTTTTCGGCTCGAGTCTGTGCTACTAGTTTGAACGGAATGGTATGTGTCAATGGCGCTGGCTGCTGTGTCTCCACACGCTGCAGTCTTTGAGGTGATGACGGCTTACGCTGCTCGTCTAACCGACTCAACAAGTCATCCGTGCGACGGACTTCCATGAAGGCGCTTGCAGTAGCTGCGACTTTTTCAAGACTTGTCCGTCGTCGGCCTTTTCTAGCATGACCTGCTTGCTCACTTAATGTCGACTCCTTCTTACGATCCATTCTCCGGGCAGTCAACTCGGCAATAGACAAACTACAGAAATCTCCACAGCAACCACGTTTCTGACTCGACATAAGGTGCGCTGCTGACTTGGTGCGTCGCCGTCCTCGAGATAGAGAAAATGTCGACGGAAGCATCGACAAAGCTTCATCCCAGTCATTCGACTTGAGCTTTGCACGCCGTCTACCCTCCAGATCCCCGAGCGGATCCAAACGATTCGAGGCATTCGAAGATGGTAAAAGTCGAGTCGAAAGTCTGGAATATGACTTTGGAGCAGCCATAATAGCGTCAACTACCCTTTCATCGGGTGCTCGTGAACCTTCAGCTCTGGCACGAGCTATTAATCTTTCGTTCATGGCGCGTGGACCCTCGTACGAGCTTGAGAATGTGGATGTTAGCGCGTCTGGAAACGTCGGAGCTGAAGGCAGCGTTACTGCAGCGGAGATGGTCTCGCATGAGGATGTTCGCCACAATTGAATTTTGCCGCTGTCTTCCATGATAAAGAGCGAGACGCAGCGTACTACACGACACTTCTTGTTTTTCTCGATAAAATTTACAAAATGCTGAACCAATTCATTGACGACAGTATTCAACTTGATATCCTTGCTCGCAATCCGCTGACCACCTAATGCTAACCAAAACACTTTGCCTTGCACGCGACCACTTTTCTGAAGACTAACGAGACACAAATACAGCGTGAAGTGTCAAAATCGAGTGTTATTAGGGACTAAGCGCTACGTACGTGAACTCGTGCTCGAGATTAGCGTAGCAAACAGGATCCAATTCACCGCGCGGACGAATAAAAGTGCTGATCGCGGCGCTGCAGGAACTGCTTGACGACACAGATTGCAAAAATGATAAAAGATCTGGCGCACATAGGAATGGTACGACACTGGGATTGTCCTTCTTGTCGAACCAACACACAGCGACTGGTCGGGTTGTCGGATCCACAGCAGAATCTGGACGACCAAACTCGTCAGCGAACTGTACGAATGCACGATGCACTTGGTCTGCTGTGTGTCTACTGCGAGGCTTGCGGCGTACGACACCCCCATCTGTGAAGTACCAAGACCAAATTTGCTGTTTGTCCACGAACACACTCTCCACCACGTTCACACAGCATTCTCCTTTGTCTCGACTAACGAGTGCCGAGCATACCCACTGCCAAGATCGACTTGTGCGTGGTTCCTTTTCCAAGTCTACTACTGGTACGTTCTCGCGCAAGACCTGACTCTGACGATACTGCTGCTGCTTCATTAGGGAGTCCGGGCGCCGTCGCTTGGGAAGTGTTAACGGTTGCAATGAGCCATGCAATATAAAATTAGCGTGAACATTTTTTCCATCTTTCATAATTGCGATGTGCTTCAGGCTGAAGGAATGGCGGAAGATGAGATATCGCTAGCTTCATGGTTATAGATTGTCAAAAAGAGTCGCTCAATGTTTGAGGTCATACTTTGCCATCGGCTCACAGGTAATTTCGATCCTAGAAAAGCGTGAAAAAAATGCCCAAGTTGAAGTGGGTGTAGCCATTTTGGAGTTCGGACGGGCAGGAGCAGGTGACACGGGTGAAGGAATCGTTCGCGTACCCACTTATTGTGAAAGTCCAGCAGACACCTTGATTGCACAAGTAAGAACCACAGAGTAACAGCTAGATGAAGTAAGCAAGAGCACGAGGCAGTCTTAAATCTTTAAATTCATTCTCCATTTTACCTCAAGCCCCGCAGTCCCTCTCAAGCAAGGCCTTCGGACCCGATTCGCCCATCTATAAGCTACGGGCGTGTCACGGGTGCTACGAGGTTACTTCGAAGTACATATTTGTCGAAGCAGTTTCTTTCAGCAGGACTTGAACAATTGTCAAGGCCTTGGTGGAAGCGACCTCAACGTCGTCCAATCTACATGCGATGCAATGTCAACAACACCCTGCGACACGGTTCCGTACTGATGAGCTTCGTTCTGATCTGTAATTTTCGACGCACAAGTATCCGTTTGTCTTTGGCAGCGCTCACATGTGGCTATTATAACGCCTCGTGCATGTCCGACGTGGCTGCTTAAAAAAGCGCCTGATCGAAATGCTGCTCGATTACTGTCTCCATGGTGTCCATGAGAGTCGTGGCATCGCTGATTTCGGCGGGTTGGTGGCCACATCGGAACGGAGACCGAAGTCAAAGAATCCTGGCAAAACGTGTTTACCACGACGATAGTGCACGTGTAACTGCGTGCTTGCCGTCAAATTGCCGCAGCATCATCGCACACGTGCCCCTGGCTGCCAGGTTGGCAGGTTGTTGGACCCTTCCCTGGTATCGTTTCTGTCCGGATTACTCAGCTGTCTCCGCTACTTAAACGCACCCCTCAAAGGATTCGCGTTACTTCAGGCAATAAGCCAGAGCGGGCACTGTGCTCCATATTTCTTCGTAGTCGTAGCTCAGAATAGGCCAAGGCGGGCATTTCATCCCGCACTAACGGACCGATGCGCGTCGAGTTCGCGGTGCCCTCACCGTCTGACAGCGCCACGGACTACACGCTGGATATGGGCACGCAGACGCAGCCCCCCGCGTCGGCGGACCGTGCGGCGCCCGCGCCCTCCGCCCCCAAGAACTTACGTCGCGTCAACACGTTCACAGGCGCGGTCAATGAGGAGGAAGCGCGCAACATCATCTCGTTACGATATCGTGCCGACAGTATGGCGGACTCGGTGGCGTCCGACTCGAAGCCCAACGCAGAGACGAAGCTATGGAACCTCTTCGAGCAGGTTTTCTGCTTCCTCAAGGGCATGACCATCTACCAGACACGACGGCGACTCAAGTTCACGATCGTGTCGCAGACAGTCATTAACTCGCTGCGTATCTTCCCCATTATTCTAGGACTAAGCTTCCAGGCCACCCTGCCTGTGCTAATCCTGTACGTGACGCTCGTGCTGGGTTGGCACGGCACGAAGTTCCTAGTGCCCAAGTTCTTGCTCAGCTACAAGATCGGTATGCAGCTCACGCTACTGGTGGACGTCATCTGGTACTACAAGGGCTACAACGGAAAGCTCAACAGTGTCAGCAGCGGTACTTCGGTGCTCATGCAGGGTTTCTTCTCCATTTTATTGACAATGCTCAACATTACCGGGTTCATGTATGGCTGGAAACTTCGCCGTATCGTCAAGGCCGTACAGAACCAAAGAGAGTGTGACCGAGCTGCACTGGCCACGATGATGCCGTCCCCGCAGAGAGTCAACTCGCTACACCAGACGCTGTCAATTAACCCGTCGGCCGAGATGGACGAGGAAGAAGTTCCGTCTGCGCGTCGTAAGATCACTGTAGGCCCAGGAGTCCCGAACAACAGAACAAGACGCACTCAATCGGGTGTGCCAGCGTCGCTTCCTGATGTCTTGAAGACCAAGAAACAACGCAGGAAGGAGGCAGAGGCCCAGGAGGAGGCGCCCGTGTTCTGCTCCAATCTCATCATCACGAGCAAGTACACGTACTACAATTTCCTGTTCGTCTTCCTCAAGATGCAGTTTAGTCGACTGGCCAACCTGTACACGACGATTGTGGTGGCGTTGTGTTTCTTTGATTTCTCGCCCGTCAGTCCCGTGGCCAGTCTTACACCGCTGTTGATCGTGTTTGCCACGTCTGCGCTGAAAGATGTGAGCGAGGATCGTCGCAGACAGAAGGGAGACGCTCAGGTGAATTCGAGATCGGCTCATATTGTGCGTCGCGACGTGCTAGATGAGGTGATGCATATTGACGGCACTTGGCAGGACATTGAAGTGGGAGACGTACTGCTACTTAAGGACGGTGATCAGGTTCCTGCGGACTGCATTCTACTGGCCACGAGTCGACCGGATGGCAGATGTTACGTGGAGACAGCAAACTTGGACGGAGAAACGAACTTAAAGATCCGACAGGTGGCCAGCTGCACGAAGCACTTCTTGACTGCTGAAGAGATCTTGGACCGGTATACGCTCGAAGTGGAGTGTGATGTGCCAAATAAGGATCTGTTCTACTTTGACGGTGTCTTAAAGCTGAAAAAATTCGCAGACGAAGCTGTTGCGGACACTACCAACAAAGAAGACACAGAGACCAGTTTGACGATGGACAATTTGATTCTACGAGGCAGTGAAAGTCGCAACGCCGAGTGGACGCTTGGACTTGTGATTTACACGGGCAAGGAGACGAAAGTCCAGATGAACTCGGTCGCTGTGCCACTTAAGCGAAGCTTCGTGGAGAAGACTTTGGATACTATGTTCGTGCTGGTTCTGATGCTGCTTTTCGGAATTTCGATTGCTTGTACACTGGGAAACAACAACTGGAACTTGGATCTGGCGGACGATTCAACACCGTGGTACATTAAGGAAGATTCGAACGGCTACATCTTCTTGAGTTACGTGATTTTGTTTAACAACTTGATCCCGCTCTCGATGTACGTGACGATGGAAGGTGTACGCTTTGTTCACGCGCGATACATCGAAAACGATCTGGAAATGTATGACGTTAAGACCGATACACCAGCGCAGGTTCGCAACAGTAACATCAACGAAGATCTCGGACAGATCCAGTACATTTTCTCGGACAAAACAGGTACACTCACGTGCAATGAGATGATCTTTGCCAAGTGCACGATCGCCGGTCTCCGCTACAATGACATTGAAGTAGATCCTGCGAAGCGGGCGAGACCAGGCACACGCTTTAACGATGGCCGATTGCTGGCGCGATTGAACTCGAACCACTCGACGAAGAAGGAAATTCACGACTTCCTGCTGCTGCTTACAATTTGCAACACTGTGATCCCTGAAACCAACGTTCCTACGTCTCCTACGTCGAGCAGTGACTCGTGTTCGGTCGAAACGCCAACAATCAAGTACAACGCGTCGTCCCCAGACGAGGAGGCTCTTGTGCTGGCTGCTGCTGACCTCGGCTACGTGCTCGAGTCGCGTGACGGTTCATTGTGCCACACTCTCATTCAGGGAAGACCTATGTCTTTTGAAATTCTGAATGTGTTGGAGTTTAACAGCGACAGGAAGCGTATGTCGGTCATCGTGCGATTTCCTGATGGTAGTATCGTGCTCTACTGCAAGGGCGCTGATGATATTATTTTCGATCTGCTGTCCAAGTCGCAGCCCCAGGGTGTAGCGCACGTGACTCGTGGTCATCTCCAGGAGTATGCATCGGAAGGTCTTCGAACTTTGACGACGGCTATGCGTCGTCTCACTCAGGAGGAATATGACCAGTGGAATCAACTGTATCGTCAAGCAGAATTCTCTATGGAGGGCCGTGCTGCCAAGATCGCCAAGGTTTCAGCCATTATTGAGGTGGAGTTGACGTTGCTTGGTGCGACGGCTATTGAAGATAGACTGCAGGACGGTGTCGAAGAGTCTATTTGTGCTTTACGCAAGGCTGGCATCAAGTTCTGGGTGCTCACTGGTGACAAGAAGGAAACTGCTCTTAGTATCGGTATGTCGTCGCATGTGATCGATGACAACATGGATGTCATCGTGTTGGGTCAACGTGACAAGGGCTCTCTGCGTGCAAGACTGGAGGAACTATACGTCGACCTTGTGGAGGACAAGTGGGGATCAGATGAAACCTCGTCTGCGACTAGTGTGTTGTTGGAAGCGTTGAAGAGAGCCATCTTGTACTTGTGGGATCTCGTAAAGCTAGCGCTGGTGGGACGTGATGAAGAAGCAGAGGCACGAAAAAAACGGAGACGTCTGCCTCGTCGTGAACACGCTGGCGCTGATGCAGCGCCGACAGATAGTCCTGCTCATTACGATGAGGTGTATCCGGCTCTTCCAAACCGTGACATCACTGAGAACAGCTTTAACCGAGATCTGTGCGACCACGACTTCGAACCGAAGACCGATAACATGACCGGAGGCACTAACAGCATGAGCAGTGGTGATTTCATCGATGAAGAACTGGAGTTCGCCATGGTGATCGATGGTAAAACCCTCGCACTGGTGCTGGATGATGACATCAAGTACCTGTTTTTGGCAGTGGCGACGCAATGCAAGTCGGTGATTTGCTGTCGTTGCTCCCCCTCTCAAAAGGCATCCGTGGTGAAGCTGGTTACGGAGCCTACGCTCATGTTCTCACCAGGCAATATCACGCTTGCTATTGGCGATGGAGCCAATGATGTTCCTATGATTCAGGCTGCAAACGTGGGTGTGGGTATCAGTGGCAAGGAAGGTCGTCAGGCCGTTCTCTCTAGCGACTATTCTATCGCGGAGTTCCAGTACTTGAAACGTCTGTTGTTAGTGCATGGCAACTACAGCTACAAGAGAATTTCCAAGCTCATCTTGTTCTCGTTCATGAAGAACGTGGCATTGTCGATGTCGAATTTCTTCTTGGCGATGGAGACGATGTACAGTGGGTTACTAATGTACTTCAGCATCTTTTTCACGCTGTACAACGCACTATTCACAACGATCCCGATCGTGGTTATTGCCATGTACAACCAGGACGTGTCTCCTGCTGTGTTGATGCAGTACCCGACGCTGTACGTGAACGGCCTGAAGAACCGGTCGTTCAACTGGCTATCGTTTTTCGGCTGGTGTGTACTTGGTGCGTGGCATGCTTACGTGGTATATGCGGTGCCGTTCTTCACGAACGGCTCTATCGTTTGGTACTTCTCGAGCGATTCATCGAAGCTTCAGTTCGACAAACGCGACTTGGGTCTCTGGGCAAATGGTGTCGCGTCATACACGTACCTGATCACAGCCTCGACGGTGCAAGTGTCGCTCATGACGAGCAATTGGACGCGTGCGAACGTCTTGTCAACTGTGGGCACGTTGGTGTTCTACTATCTGTTTACAGCTTTCTTCTGTGCTGTATTCGGATGGACTAAGGCCGATTTTTACGACACTGAAGTGGGTTACGGAGTGGTCAGTCAGCTGGTGAACGAAGGCTGGTTCTGGCTTGGTCTTCTGTTCTCTGTTGTCGTGGCCATTCTACCCAACTACATCGCCAAGGCCGGACGAGTACTGTTCTACCCGGAGCCGTCGCATTTGATGCGTGAGTGGAATCGTCTGGCTAAGGGCGAAGACGCAGCTGTGGTCATGGACTCGCCACGTCTTGTGCGCCGTAACACGGGCTTCGCATTCTCACACTGTCCTGGCGAGTCGGAGATGGCGCTGGGCGTTTACCGAAGCAGCAACATGCGAGAACAATCGAGAGCAGGTCAGAGGTCGGATCTCTCAAATGTTGGCATGCGTGTGCAATCGCCTTCGTCATCAACTGCAGACGGTTCTTCGCCGTCCCCAAAGGCTTTGGATTAATATACTAAGTACAAGTGTTTTAGAACCTGTGTGCAAGTGTTGAGGACGAGTTCATACTGTAAGTGTTGCGCTTTACAAGTAGTGTTTTTTTTTTTCTCTTCTAGAAGATCTGGTCAAGAGGTATTTGTTCGGAGAGATGCGAGTCGATGGCAAGCTTGGCGACGTACTCCTTGTTGTCACTGATAGCTGGAGGTACAAAAGGATTATTAGTCCTTGCAACCTTGAATACGAACTGAAGACAAGCGTACCATACGAAGGACAGCCGACGATCCAATTTGCCTGGTTGAAGCGTTCTATGTCGGATGCTGAGCGCTTGGAGCGCAGTTTTGGCATGGGTTCTTCTTGTGCGAGGCGGTTAAGCAGAGCACGCTCGTACTTGGCTCGTAAATCTGGTCGCAAAAGCTGTTGCGTGCCGCTAGTAGCGGCTAACTTTTCCTGTAAGCACGGTGTTGGAATTGCTGTGGAAAACAAAAACACATCGTTGGCGACATCGATTGAGGTTAATGATATACACTTACCGTCGAAGTAGTTGGGGATTCCCTTCGCAACACGGGGCTTCTCCAGTAACCGAGCTAGACCGGGAAAGACGCTGCGGATCAGCGCTGGCACGTACTCGAAGAGCACGGAGCGCATGACCACAACGGTGTAGCCAGTCACGAAAAATGCGAACAGAACCACGACTTGAGGACGCGTAACTCGAGATATCAACTGGCCTCGCTCGGTGTCGAATATAGGGATACCCTCACCAGGACTGTATTTGTTATTCATGGTCGCCTCCTGGAATGTTGTGTCGCTGTCAGACTCGAAGACGCGGTCGTTGGAGAACATCCACATGGCGATGAGGCAATGCATCAACACTGCGTAAGGAAGTAGTGACCCTGCAGCGGAGGCTAACTTGCTGTCGTAGACAGGTGGTGACCGAGCAACACGGAGAAAAGCTGGCAAGCGATCGAGTTAGTCAAAGCACCCCCACAAATTTCATGGTTGAGGTTCACTTACTGAATTTGTCGGCCCAATATGTCATGAACATTGCACCGAATCCGATGAAATGGAGCAGCGGCATTCCCGCTGAGAACTGCAAGGCAATCATCAACACAATTAGTTATTTACGTTTTAGAGAAGCCACAAACTCGTACCATATACGTGATGAAGATGGACGTCAGCGATTGAGCGTAGCGTGCAGCGAGATCGAACTTTGGTCCACGGTATAACGCTTCGAGATCACGCTGCGTGTCTTGTTTTGTCAGAGAATGATCGAAAGAGTATCCTCGGTCGATAAAGCGCCGGGCCTTGAGCATGATATAGTTTGCCAGGAGATACAAATGTGTACTAAACGAGTTGAGAATCATGGTGAGCATGAGTGTCACACCGACGTCGTTATACCAGTCTGCTGAAAAATCTGAATACTCTCCGTTAAGAATTTCCAGTATTCCAAGCGAAAACCCTCCCGCACTCGTCGTCTCTGATACCGTTGGCGATGAAGAGAAATAATTGGTATTTGCGTTGATGACTAGCATCAGCAGTGCCGTGTTGCAAAACTGAGCGAGGAAAACTTTGGTAACTCGCGACGCGACCTGACTAGATTGGGTATGATGTTTCTCCAAGGCAACTAGCGCATTTAAAATTCGTGCCAGTATTAGATTCACTGCCACAACCAACAGCACCGAAGCAATTGACAAAATCTGGGTCGTCACAAATGTTGTTGCCCATGAACGACATAACATCTCATCCTCCCCTGTTTCAGGATTGTAAAAACTTTCATACATCATGCTTCGAAAAGAGCTGTAAAGCAACAAACACACAAAAAGAGTTCCCGGGTTAGATTTGACAGTATACTGGCGAGTTGAATTGGGGTAAGCTTACTGATCAACGAGAAAATTTTTGCAGTAGCATTCGACGAGAGCTTTGTATGGTACGAGCTCAGTAACCTTGTTCAGCTCGTCTTGGACGACATCAGACTTGAGAACTTCAGTCGGACAACTAGTTGGTCGTCCAAATTGCCTTTCAAGTTTACTTTTCTGCTCTTTCGCCACAAAAATGAGCACGAAACTCACAAACAACACTGACAACGTGATTAATGCCACGGCCTACCAAATATTAATTGCACATGTGAGTTTAAGCCCATTAAGAAGTCAAATAGGCACGATCGAGGCGTACCAATTGTCGGAATACTCGCTCCACGAATGCGTAGTGCAGGTTTTCCCAAATGATGTCGGTGGGATCCGGAGCTGGGCGGAATCGAAGTCGTTTGCCATGAAGTCGCTTGTAATATGGCTGAAAGAGACGATGAAGCCACCCGAGGTCTGGGTACTCTTGTAGGCAGCGATGAAAACCTTCTTCCTCTTCGAATGTCACGAAAGCGGTCACTGCTTGAGAAATATTGTAGCGCTTTTGATGAGCGTGCCACTGCTCTAGCTTAATGTCAAAGCGATGCAGCTCTGTCTCTAATTGGTTTATAGCGCGCAAGTGCCGCTGTTCTCGTCTGGTGTACACACGTTCATCTAGTCGTCCATACAAGAGTTGCAGCTTTTCATGACGCTGTTGGGCAATTTCTAGGCGCCGCACGATCACTCCGCGGCGACTGAGTAAACGTAGATGACGTGATTTGCTTTTGCCAAACTGAACGTCGGCAACACGAATACGATCAAGCTCCTCCGCGAAAGGTGGGGCGTTACTCAAGGCAGCTTCTAGATGTAGGCGAATCTAATTGCACAAATAGAATTAGAAACTAAACTTCAGCAATCTCTCAAGCTAATGCAAATTTACCTCCTGACGTAGCAAATTGAGATCGTCATGGTACGGTAGATGTACAATCTGTACAGTGTAGTCCAGAGCCTTGATCTGGTTTTGGTCGATGTGGTCTACCGCTTCTTTCTCTTTCCGTCGCAACCAAATTATAATCATGAAGAATGCGAGGCTACACGCAATATCGCATCCTACCGCAAGTCCCAAGAACTCCCGCCGCTACATGTTTACCATTTACGATTAGTCAAAGCTTTCACAAGTAGAATACTGAGTTTCATTCTTACGCTCAAGGAGTCCCAGCCGATAATTTTAAGGTTCCACGCACCAGACAAATCGATTCGCGCGGTGAAGCAGCGTCCGTATACAATCAGCGCACGGGGTTTGTCGGTATCACATTTCGAATAATCACTATCATCATTCAGTTCAACTTCACACACTTCCTTTGTGATGTTTGCGACGCTGTCGATTGTGACAATAGTCGGAGGTTTTGAGCAATTCGTGCCGTAGTTAGCATCAGGCTCCCACGCGTAAGTGATCGCCTCACTGACGTTAAATGTGCAGCTCTTCTTTCCCAAACACAGTCCTTCGACTATTTGCTGAGCCATACTAGAGCCACAATCTTCACTCTCTTGAATCCGCATATCGTCAAACAATGGCGTCTTCGTTGCGTCATCCCTAGAAAAGGAACAACACGGCCGAAGTGAGACTGGGTGAACACCTACAAAGCACCCCGCACCATCCACAGGACACGTAGATCCTTCAGCGTAACCACGGCATATTCCAGAACTCTCAGCGACTTTGTTGCGTTCCGGGCATGAACAGCTTCCCTGGGAATCATACGTTGAATATACCGCTTTAACAAAACCAATTTCACCTGCTGAACACGTGAGTGACAGCTCAGTGTTTTCAAGAGCCTGGTCACACACACTACTGGCCTCGCTGAGATGGCCAATACTTGTGATACCCAAGATAGACGGAAGATCCTGACGCGCAAGAGCAGTAAGTTCTGCCATCGTAGTGCCACCACCAAAGATATAAACCGCAAGTGTTGGAGCACTAATCACCACGAGCAAGAGGAATAGCCACGTTATGACCTTAAGATACTTGAAGTAAAGAGCGATCCCAAGACCATATTGACTCAAAACAACCGAGTCTGTGGGTAGGTGGTGAAAGGAATGGGCGCCAAAGTTTGTGGAGCAAAGCGGATATCGCTCTGGCAAGGGAAAACCCAGTGCATCCACTCGAGTACTTGAGTATCGCATTGGGTGTGTCATGCCACGATCACGAAGAACTTTTGCATACGACAAATACTTGAGCTCTTTGGTGCCACAATCCGGTGGGTAGCCACCGAGTTGCGCATCCAGACGAGGTGACATCATAAACAGTGTCTTCTTGCCATCCTTGAGTTCGCCTTCCTCCATTGCTGTAACATCTCTGTCATTTCTTAATCTCTGACAGGTAGGCAAGAGGTGGGAGTTCTCGACCACGGGCTCAGCAGAACTAATTTCGCTGGTTTTTACGGTTGAAGCTTCACTGTGACGTCGAGGCCGGTTTGCAGAATTTTGGAGATTGCGCGACATCATCGAGGCGCGTCGCCTGTTCTTAGTGCGCTTGCTCACCATATCATCAGGTATTGGATTCTTGTAAGCAATGAAAATAATTTGCTCTTAATGGAATGACTCGGTTGTCTAACAGGAGGGGAAGTTTTGCTACCGGCGGTTCAGCAAGCTGCGTGTATTGAGCATGATAATAATGGATGCAAAACGGATAGTCCGTTGAACTTTCAAGGATAGATTCAAAAGGTCATGGTGGTTAAAAAAAACTAGGCATAATAAATTCCTTATGTGCAGTTACAATTTCCCTCTGTAGTAAAATGTTGCTATGCCCCTACCAATCACAAAAAAGGCCCCCCTACAAGCTCAAGCATCCCCCTCAGCGAGGTTCATGCGGAAGCCAAGACAAACAGGAGTCGTATTCTTGGTTGCAGTAATGAAAGAAAAACTTATAAGCTAGGATTTTTAAAGTACTTTAAAAAATGAAAACCGTGACAATGAGACTCCGACCTAAACCAGATTATTTTGCTTGGGCCGCTAGCGCGTTGCATTGCAGAGATATGGATATTTAAATCCAAGTACATACAGACGACCCCCGCCACGAACCAGTATGGATTCATCTACCTTCTAGGAGTATCCGGCTACCGGTAGACATACGCCATTGCGAATCATAAGTTGCGGTGTTAGCAACTATGTTTGCTGGTATGTGCCAAACAATTAGTCATGGTCGATTTCTGGCGATCGATGCGACTTAGCGATGCAAACACCACCACAATATTTGATCGTCCACTTGAGTTGAAGTGAGTACGCCATAACATTATCATATTGCGGAATTCGTAACAAACTGATTTGCTCGGTAGCTCGTAATGAAATGTTGTGATAGTCGATAAGGTTTGCACGCTGTGTTTTATTGTGCTTCGCGCGCTGAGCACTTCTTGCGATCAAGTTGACTCTATGAGCATCAAGTTTACTACCGATATTTATTCCAATCGCGCATTTGCCAGTACCATTAGCAATAGCTAGCGAGAGAGCAAAACGATGCGAAAATGATCTGCGAGACGAAGTGCACTGACGCGAGACCAGATTCAGATGTTAAGCCGGCTTCCTCTTGCAACTTCGACTCGGCATTTCTGAATGCGCGCACTAAGTCAACATGTTGCAGTGGACGAGTCACTGCTAAGGCGTGCCTCAACTCACCGTGGGCGTCATTGTCACTTCGGTTGTTGCCTAACAGTTTCCACCCCAAGAGTCCGCAGCAAATAAATATTTCTTCGCTGATTCAACTTCATTATCCACTGCAGTCTGGGTGTCAAGAGGAAAGACACAGTGGCGTCAGTATAGATCAAAACCAGTGGCCCCGGGAGCGTAGAGAGCGCACGATAATGTTGCTTCAAGCCTCGTTCGTGGACAACCGTCAATTTGTATCGCGTCAGTTAGGTACACCAGATATATCTATGATAGTTTGTTGTTTCCTAGCTCCGACGTGGTGCTTACTGGAACCTGCAACTTCTGATTTCCGCAAACACCGTCACATCCATTTTTGTACTCGCTTTTTGTATGGACGACGTTGAAGCAAATACACTTGCATTTTGTGTGCTACAAGTTGAAGTACAAATCAATGTGATTGCATTTTTGCGTTTTTTTTGGATATGCACTTCAAAATATCGTCCACTAAAAGGGTGTCGATATTCAGTGCATCGAGAACTAAGATCAACGGCTTTTGCCACTGCTGAAGTTAGAGTGAGAAATGGCTGGAACATGCCTCACATTGCTGGTCGAAAGCGTATGGTTGCTTAGATTACAACGGCGGAACTAATACTTGCTGATTTGTACCGTTGTGAATGCAACTTCATTATTAACCACCAGTCTTTTGCAAGTGTATCAGGTTGATACTCAGTACATGTACTGTCAAGTTGACAATGGCATCTGCCCTCGTGAACATGGTTCCAAAAATATTGCTCTTCGAATATAGATGTCTAGCACAAGACGAACTTCAGTCTGACCACTCGACCACATATATGCATTAGCAGCAGCAAATGATTCTATGTCTCAGCGAGATGCCCATTGACGCCATCATCTCGACACACGACCACAACCAATATCTCAAACTGCAGTATTGGATTACGAATGCAATATCAACGAGAAGGTTAGACCCTCTCGGAATCCGGAGCGCGCACTAACTTGATGTGTTGCGAACCATCGATCCGTGATGTGTAGCGGTTGCACGGTCTGTTACGTCCAGTGGAGTGGAGATCAATTCGCCCTCCTGTACGATCCAAGATGACCAAGGTGATACAAATGGTATTGACGTACCACTTCAAAATTCTCTCCTGTACCTCAAATTGTGGTTCACAACCCATGAGTCATCTCATTCCTATGAAAGCATCATGGAAATGTAGGTGTGCAGGCCAGCGGTTCTTCTACTTTACATGTAAAAGGTGATCGACAACAAGGCAAACAGGTATCAATCAAGCGTGAGGAAAGGCTCGACCGCGCTGGCGCAAGTATAGGCACAAATTGCAGCGTACATCACGCGACGAGGTACTTGGTCGCGGCTACTCGACTCCTGGCAACCCACTGATTCCAGTCTAAGATATCTGGCTTATTCCTGGAGGGTACGTCGCTCGAGAACATTAGCTGCGGACGAGGGCTTCTCTCGTTGCTACTTCACAACAGAAGAGACTTTACGTACAGAAGCAACCAATCTCACCTGTGCCAACAAACAAGGACAAGTCTTGCCACAAGCTTGGCGTTGCTGGCACGACCCCCAAACGTTCGCCACACAATCGTGCAGGCACCGAATTGCTTCAGTCGTGGAGTGGTAGCGTGTAACTGATTCGCATTACAAAAATCAGGAACCAAAACGGTTGGTGTCGCTGGAATGGCAGAGGTCTTGAAGACTACAACATGATCTACACGTTTTCCTTCCTAGCGCTTCTGAATCAGCGCTGCATAACGCAAACTGATGACGATCTAATAGTGCCAGCGCGTAGAGGAATTATTTACCTGTTGCATTGCTCCGGTCCGGGAGCTACATGTATTCGCAAGCTGACGCAGTCCTGAATACTCCGACCATAAATCAGCTGCAACGTCTCCTCTCCTCCTGGCCCCACCAAAAAGCGACATTCTTTTTCCCTAAGTCAACATAAACCGCGTCTCCTCTCCCCTAAGTAACCTTTTATCTTATAAAAAGTAAGTTTCTAAAAATGATGTTGCGTCGGTTAAATCACTACTTTGCTTCTAAGTCGACGTCTCAGACTGGCTAAGATTCTGCACCTTGAAGACTCTGATCAACGGCGCCAACTTCTCATTCTTCAATTTGTCATCTTCCAGACAAAAACTTCACCCAACCGATCCAAGCCAATTATGCAGACTACAGACGACGAATTCAGCTCACTCAAGTGCCGCTACGCCAGCAAGCGTTGCTGGAACCTGCGTGCCATCAAACGCAATGGCGAACGCCACAATCTGTGCGAGATGCACCGCCAGAAGGCCAACAGCAACCAGCGTCGCCTCGACAAAAAGCGCAAGGCTGGGCAGGCTGCTCTCGGTCTGCCCACCCACCTGGGTGCCAGTGGGTATTCGGACCTGGAGCGCCGCTTGAGGATGCGCGCCTCAATTGCACTCAAACTGGAGCAGGAGCTGGGCAGTGTTCCCCTCACAACGCAGTACATCCGTTCCCCGTCACTCATGGAGCTGCAGCGAGCAGCAGGACTCTTGGCCATGGGCAACGGTTTGTCGTCTTATAGCAACGAGATGGACACATGGCACGAGCCGTCGAGCCGATTGACACCCGCTGTGTGGATGAACACGTCGTATCCCAGAAGCCCTCGCGCCATGCTCCGCGTTGCCAAGATGGAGCCGAGCGTGGAGCTCCGTGCGTGGATGCACCGCAATCCACTCACACCGCCAAAGTCGGAACCAATTGGTGCTCCTAAGTTGCTGCCGCCCATTGCCACCGCAGTGGCGCGATCTGGAGAGGGACTGAGCTCCGCAATGCTGCAGAGCTCCTGGCACCCGGAAGTCCGGCGAGCGCCCTCTCTCGTCACTCGCGCCAACATTTGAGCGACACCATCTACGTAACCTAAAAGTACAAGTACCTAAGTGCCATTAAAAAATAATACATTCTCCGTGCGGTAGAGATCTTGTGATCATTTTTAGACATGTAAAGCGCGCAGCGAAAACGCATTTCAACGAGCTTTGAATCGTTATTCGCTGTCTGAAATCAAGTCCAGACTTCCTGATTGTAGGCGTAGTTACAGACGGCGTTGCAAACAGTGAGTGGATATTCGCTGTGATGACAACCACAATAGCTCCTCTCCGCAACAGCAAACGCGAGACAATTCCGCTGTCGAATGGATTTGACCGCCGGCAGGCATCAACATGGCACGCGTGCAGCCATAGTCAGGCTGGGATTACCCGACGACGCGGGTGAATTGATCACTGCCAGTGATCAGTGCACCGCAGCTACAGAGGCATTTTTTGGTAACCACGCACGTAACTTCACAAAGCGAAGTGCGTTTTGCCCGCGAATCCAGTCAACCGAACAGAGACGCCCGGAGCTCCGACTGTAGTCAAACTTTGACTCAATGCGCTCCGGAGCTTGAAAAAGAGTTGGCACCGACTCGGTGACCGAGCTCTGGTAGATTTTCTGAGCCACACAACAGAAATTCAAGGCAAAATCCTGGGTTAAGATATCCCAGTCTTTGTGCAACATCTGACCTAAAATTCACCCATGTAGCCATCGTATCCGATTTGCTTGCAGCAGTCGGTATCTTCCCCCTTGACGTGCGTGGCTGGCCGGCCATTTGCGCATTTGCCTTCCGTTCACTAAAGTATTTTCTCGTAATGGCCGCTTGTCCCGGCACAACCTCCGCTTCCCAACTCGCATCGGCCCAGGTTCCTACAATAATGACCTCCACCGCGCCAGAGCAGCCCGTACACGACACTGAGACCATGTGCCGCTATCCGAGCAAGAAGTGCTGGAACCCGCGCGCCCTCAAGCGCAACGGCGAGCGTCACAATCTGTGCGACTTCCATCGCCAAAAGGCCAATAAGAACCAGCGCCGTCTGGAGCTCAAGCGCAAGGCTCGTGCGCAGGCGTCGGCTGACGCTGAGTCTCTCGGTAAGCGGCTGCGTGCTCACAAGAAGCCACGCCAGCGTACGCGTCGCGCCCCGCTCAGTGCCCACTTGGCCATGAAGGAAGAGGCGCGTGCCAAGCAACAGGCCGAGGAGATCAGCAGAGCCAACACGGCCGCAGCTGCTGCCTCTTCATCGGGTCTTACCAGCTGGTTCCTCCAGGATCTTGTGCTGCTAGATGGCGTCTACGACCGAGCAGGATTCCAGGCTAAGGAGGAACAGCCCTCGTCTCCAATGACGACCTCCGTTGAGCTACAGCGCCTCCCTGATGTAATGGACCAGGAGGTGTTAGACCACATTCTACAGGACGGACAGGTAGACGCTGCTGCGGTCTGCAAGAGCTTGGACACGACTTTAGGACTAGAAGCTCTGGGGTCGCTGCCCGAGGGCAAGACGTCCCCTGTGGACGTAGGCGAGAGCTGGGACAGCCTGGACTTCGGTGACTACTGGCTTACATCCGCTCCGGTTGATCACCCGATCATGAGCTCTGAACCCTCCGTGTTCGGCGTGGATGAAGATGTGTTCGTTGCGGACGTGTGAGCACGTCGCCGCCGCACAACTCTCCTATTTATTTTGCTGTACAAATTAGGAAGCAGGCAATCCGTTGAAATAAATGCTCATGCTTTCCAAGCCCTTTCTACTGGATCTTAGTCGTCCTAGTGCTGTCGCAGCAAGCCATAGCTCGAGCCAAGGCACCAGCGGTCTGTCACAAAGAACGCTCGCCGCAGGGGCTTGTGATGCATCATAAGAACGTCTCCACTAAAAATACGGCTGCTTCAATGCATTATGCATTTACTGTCGTGAGTTTATTCCCTATTGGTCTCTAAACGCTCTTCGTGCTGAACCAGTACCATGCCGAACATTCGCGGGGCAGCAGGATCTACGATCAGCATGCCCGGTTTGATAATCGGCTGCGTGTTGGTGGCGTTCGTCGTCTTGGGTTTCCTGCAGCAGCACATGCACAAGCGCCAGCGGCGAACACGTGCGTAGAATAGCGAAGGCAAATGTAAACCAGATACCAGGTACAAATGTTGACTATAATTTTGCTTGCGGCGTTAGGATATCATCCTTCCCTCCAACTTCAACAGTCAAGTACAGGAGTACTCGAACAACTTGAAAAGCGCAAAGAAGACCTTCGACGATATATCAACAAGCTGAAAGAACAACTTGCCGTTCGAGAAGATCAACTACGTTATCATGACGAACTCGAAGAGATCGTGACGTCTCGAGTGGAAACCAGTCACCGGGACGAAAAGGTACTGGTTTTTATGATCTCTCTGATCACTTTGCAGCCTACTAACTTCAACGTGTATTGCAGGAATGGAAAAAACTCATGAAGGCAGGCAAAAAGGTTCACGGAGGCAATTGGAATACCTCCATTGGAGACGAACCTTCACTCAGGTAACAAAGTGAACCTTCCCAACTCATTTGCCCTCCTGTCTCACACGTGTTGATGGCTAGGGAGCTGATGGAGTTGCACAAGGAGGAACTGCTTGAATACAAGCGATCGCTTCAAGACCAGCCAAAATCAAGTCGTCCGTCATCATCTCGAGAGCGGAAACCGGCAGGAGATTCGTCAAAAGTTAACCTTCCGCTGCTAAAGTTGCAGCCAGTTGCACCGCTTCCTGGAGCAAAGCTGAAATCCAATCAACCGAAGTTGATACCATCTCAATGGCAATCCACTCGCGCCAAGGCGGGTTCACAACTGTCAGCAGCGGTTCTTGCCCAGTCTGAAGTCCTGGAAGATGAATCCGATGTGTCACCACCGGTTGTCCCAGCGTTAGACTTCAGCAGACTCACGGGTAAACCCACCATCGGTGTATCTCCTGTAGATGCACTTGAAGAGCCTGCACAAAAGCAAAAGATGAAGAGTTTTGAGGCCATGTTCCAACGACAGACACGGCTTGCAGCTATGCTTCGAAAGAAGAAATAGACAAATCAACAGTCAAGGAAAGGTACAAAGCGTAAGAGATTAAGGAGTGGCTCCAACGTAGCCAAGGGGTTCACTACGCCTGGATGCGGTTAAATACACGCGCATTATCCTCATTTCAGTCGCATCCAGAACGGCAGTCAAGGCTACTTACTGGTACGCTCAAAATGCCTTCATCACTGTTCACGCATCGGTTTTGGTCTTCTTGCTGGGTGGTCGTCGAGACTTCTTGGAGGACTTGGGGGTCGCGATCGGCTCGCGGCTTCCCTCTGGCACCTTCTCCAGCACGAACTTCTCCAGGTCACGGAACGTCTTGTTGTCGATGTGGTCGACAACAATGTCCAGCTCGTCCGGCGAGCTCTTGTCCAGTGCCTTCGGACACTGCTCTTCAAGCAGCTGCACGATGGCGCCCAGGTCCTTGGGGTTGACCTTGTAAATGTTCTGGCTAAAGTAAATCTTTTCCTCGAGACTCGGGGCTCTTTCCAGCAGCACAGAAAGTTAGAAATTCCAGCATCCAGTACCTCATCTAACCAGTAATATACCGTACGGAATGCTCTTGTCTGCCTTGGGCACCGGACCCACGTCCAGCTTCATGGTCTTGACCCGGTCCTCGAACTTCTTGGCGAGCTCGTCAGCCAGCAGATACAGGTCGGATCCGTCCTGGTTGTAGAGCTTGCAGTTGCTCCAGACCAGACGCATGTCACGTGCAAATTCTGCCGGCTTCTTGTACTCATTCTTGCTCAATTTGCTGCGGATTGTGCCCAAGTCCATGGGCTCCTTGACCACCTGTAAATAGTCGTACAGGCCCCACTCCTCCCAGTTGACACGCTCGCGGAAGGGCTCTGCAGAGCATAATAGGTTAGTGTCGCCACATTTGCAGCGGTTTGAGGCTATAAGCAAATAGAAATAACCCACTCACCGCAGCTGTCGAGCTTGAAGAAATGCTCCACGACATCAGTACACTTTTTCTTATTCTCGGGGTCCATTGCGCTTAACTTGACGACGATAGAGGGTTTGTTATCTGCGCAAAAATGGCATGATCATGTACGCGAAATATCATGTTAGATGGTTCGTGTACTTGATCGAGTGATCGAGCTCCAGGGGAGCGCCAGCATAAGCGTAAAGTGACGCAAGTAGTGCCGGCATGACGCCACCCTCACCTTTCGAACCCTCCGAATGGAGCAAGTGTATCGACTATGGCAGGTATACGTTTGAACACTAAATGGTGTTAAGAACACAAAACCTGTCCGTTTTAAGAAATGGCTACACTAGGCTTCAACATCTTCCTGGCTTGCAACCATGTGCGTGAGTGTCTGTCTGCTGCGGCAATTATCCAGCACTACATGTACCTGTGTCCACTGATTCAATATTCGCTTTGGTCCCATCATTGGCAGGCTATCCAAGAGAGCGAGCTGGCGAGAGCAGCCCAGTCACGAGCTGCCGGAAGTGAGAGCCAACTTGAGACGGATTCTGCTCCTGTCTGAAGTTGCAAGGTGTAAAGCTGACTACGAGTTCCTCGACAACTACAGTAAGCTGCAAAATCTATTGTAGACTTGCTACGATTTGATAAAGAATTGTTCTCTGTAAAGTCCAGAACGTTAAATATTTCCGTGAGCTGCCACCGAGAGATCGACTGCGATTCTTGAAAGCCGCCAAAGGTATCGAGCTGGACGATGGAGACGCTCTCTTTCGGATCGGCGACCGCGCTGATGCCTTCTACTGCATCATGTTCGGCACAATGAGTGTGGTCATGGACTTTTCGCGCATGGCAGCTCCTACACTCAACGAGTTTGAGGAGATCATGAATCGCGCCCGCGTACACTCGAGCTTCCTCAATCCCGGTGGGAAGGTCGATATGTCGCATGAAGCTACGTATGTCATTCGCACCATGAAGCCGTTGGAGGTGTTCGGTGATGTCGGTTTGTTGCTTGAAGAACAGCAACGTACAGCTTCTGTTGTAGCCACGGAGACGACCTTACTCATGCAGATTGATCGTGATACCTTCATGGCGTTAAGGGCACGTAACATGTCGAGGGAACTCCGGTATGTGTTTAACTGGTCTACATCGAAGGCTCTATGTAACGTTTTAGTTTTGTTGCTGCTGCCAGTGAGAAAATGACGTTCTTAGCGGGTGTAGCATGCTTGGATCATTGGGAAGATGAAGGCATTTTGAAGTTGTGTGACCGAATGGAGAAGGTCCAGCATACATACAACGATGTCGTCGTGGCTGAGGGTGAACCTGCAAGTATGAGAATTGATGTTCTTTCATTTATTTGCTGGCGGTTATTGCTCACTCTACTTTCGAGTAGATAATTTTTTTTTCATTAAACAGGGCGAATGCAGGCTTGTCAAGCGTTACTCTGCTCTCGAACAAAAGAAGAGACAGCACGATCACAAACAATGTTTTGTTGAAATATCCTCCATCAGCAGGTAATGACGAGTAGCTTTTCGATGTGTTGCTTTCAGCACTAACACTGTCTTTCGTGTATTTCATAAAGTCAACACTATTTCGGCTTCTACGAGGCAATTTTGTGTGTGCCTAACGCGGTATTCTCTGTGCTCGTGTCTTCACCCTCGGCAATTCTGTACCGCGTAGACCGCGTAGACTTCCGACAAATTGTATTGAAAGATGCGACCACAGAGCAAATGCTGCGTCAGGAAGCCATTGGTTTATCTGCACGCGCCGACATTACCAGTGTTATGCGCGACTTGAAGCGGGAAACAAAATGGAAACAGTACAAACAGGAATTAGTGGACTCGGTTTTTACTAGACATGAGGAAGAGCATGTTCCCATCATGGGTCCAAGACCAAACCTCGGTGGTTATCACACAGCACGAGAACCAAAGTTTACTTTACCAAAACTATCAACTTCACCACGAGGATCACAAACAGGTCGAGAAGTTCCAGGCGTGTCCTCTGGCCGGCTACGACGAGTACAAAAACCACTCCTCGATAACCCACGCCGTTCACATGGACATGATGGTGGTTGGCTAGACGTAAGCTCTTCGTCATTTCGGATGATGTGAATCTCATGTGTCTAACGTCCTGGCTTCTGATATTAATGTGCTATGAAGTGGGCACGACAACGCGCTGGAAGCGGGGACAACACGAGCCCAGGCCATGCTGACAAGAATGAACAGGTAACGGGTAAACTCGTGTTGCCAGTTCACGGCTTCGATCATTCACTGTAAAAGTGGTTGCAGGTTCTGGTTAGCAATGTTCAATGGGGTAAAACCTCGCAGATCATGGGTAAGCTGCGCAATGATGAAGACAAGGTCTCCACGGCCATCGTTGATCTATTCAAAGCAAAGGGTGCTGAACAGTAGAACCTTGTTATGTCTTAATTATTGAATATTGCTGCATCTTCCTGAATCTCCGATGAAGCTGGCGGATGACAACGCTAATGAGCTGACTCTATTGGACCGTGGACGCATAAACTACAGTTGTTGTCCGGGTATTTGTACTGATTTGAGCATGGTATGGAGACTGCTAACCGTCTCGACGCCATCACTTAGACGTGGGCGTGCTCTGTGTCCTCGGTGATCGTGTAAAGCTCCTCAAGACACATAGCTGATGTTTTTCTTTGAATCGGTGTCTCGTTCGACGTAGCAGCTTCGATTGCTGCCTTGCTCAGAGGAGACGAACTCGACGACGTGGAAGGTGGAGTGTCCAGGATCGGTACTTCATCTCCGCTGGTAGTGCCATTACTGGACGACTTCCAGTCGGATAAATCGTCGCCCAAGTCCTTGATATCTAAGAAAGATCGGATCGCCTTGAGCACGCGGCACTGTGCGTTGACACAGCAGCGCACCTGTCGCTTTGGAGCTGTGCGGTACACTGCAAGAATCAACTCAACGAATTGCTGCAACTGAGCCTGTCGCTCTCGCGCGGTTTTGATATCGTCATCTCGGTGCATCCTGAACTTCATCTTGCGTCGTGGGAATTTGAGTGTCGCGAGCTGCTGTGCCAGCTGCAGACACGCTCCATTGCGGCATTCTTCTCTGCGGCCCTTCTCACTCGTAGCGCTAGCGATCTTGCTGTCTAGCAGCAATTGCAGACGTAAGTCGCGGAACTGCGAGTAGCGCTTCCGTAGCACGAATTGCTCCTTTCCCGTGTCCACGTGCAACTTGAACTCGCAGTGCTTGGCCTCGCGAGTGACTCCCAAGAAGCGGACAATGGTTTCGATGACCTCGTGTCCGGGGATGAAGCCGAAGCTCGAGAGACGTGAGGAACCGAGATCCGACGACACTCGCGATGTCGATGCCATGGAGTTGCGGCTGCGAACCGAATATTGCGAACCACGCCGCGAGTCACCGAAGGACATGGGGCGATGCTGCGAGAAGGATTCGTTCACGTGCTGCTCTACGAGCTGTCGAGGGTCCAAGGCCAAGTCGTCAATGAGCAGTGCAGGCATGTTGACTGCCTTAATGGTGCTAACCAGTCACACTTCTCGTGGTACTGCCGCTCTCTCGAATCTTGCAAATTGGCGAATGTTGTGCTGACCCCAAGGATGAGTTTACCTTCTGGGATAAGGAGAGGGACAGAGAGCGTTGGGCACAGCAGCTCTGGACAGCAGCGGTTGACGCTTGGCGGCTGGCTTTGCACTCTCGCTAATATCGTCTCGGTGACAGTCGACAACATGCATGTTACATACAGCGGCTTCAGAAAAACGAAGCAGCTTGAACTCAAGTCATGTTGCTGGTAAGATGACCATGACGACGCCTTTAGACTTGGCTGTTTCAAGTCCTAGACTAGCAATCCCAGGTGTACACCCATCGGTTAACGCTTGCTTTCCGGATATAGCTTGCTCCTTCGGTGAATCTCGAAGGTTCTCTTTCTCCTGTCCAAACCAGTTTACAGACAACCGTCCTCGACTTAGCACATAGCAGCCACGCGCTTTGCGTGTCCACACCGTCCTGCTCGTTGAGGACGAGATAGCATGTTCATTTGGCAGCGCTCCTGCCCACGCCCCGACCACGATGGTGACCATCATGCTCTAGGCCGATAGCACGAAGCGCATGTACCCATCTCAGCTGTAGCGCTGGCGTATAGCATGCGAGTTGTCATATGCAACCGTTGGTTG